ATATCGATGCGTGTCCTTTTTTTTCTCTTTCTCTCTTTCTCTTTGTCTCTCTCTCTCTCTCTTTCTCTCTCACACATTCTATGCGCTCTCTTTTGTAAACATACCTGATTTTCCGTATATATAATACACACACACACACACACGTAAATTTATACTAACTACTAACTAACGTCTTGGCTGCGCTCCTACGTAACACTACGTAACCTCGTAACCTCGTAACTGCCTGTTTTTCCCGTAATATATATACTTGCTACTACCAACTTGGCTACCAACAACTCTTCTACTACAATAAAACAACGCAAATAACGCACGTCGCACGCCTTAACCTCTCAAACTTACGTACTCTATACCTGATATATATACATACTATATATATATATATATATATGTATATATCATATATAATATATGATATATATATATAAATTTGATTGATATGGAAATATTATATGATGCGTGATCTGTTTATATGTAAATTGTGTCTACCGTATTTTGGGGGCACTCTGCTGCCGTTATCGTTATCGTTATCGTTATCGTTCTTGCCCATCTTCCAACTCCTCAACAACAACAATAAAATCTTTACTTTTTTCGTTTTCCTCTGTTGTTTTGATTTCATATTTGCTATTTGATAATTGGCATTCCTTGCCTTCAATACCCTGGACGCCACCTGCTGCCTTATGCATACTCGCCTCTCTCAATAACACCATCAAATATAATTGGCCCTCCAATCGGACTTGTGTATCATAATCATATTGTATCGACGTTGATGTTTCCTTCTCAATATTTTCCAACACTATCCACTGTCTGACTCCTTGCTATATCTGAAAACTAAATTTAAATAATAAAATATTGCACCAAATTCAATTTCCTATGCACCTGTTTTTCGCAACTCTTATGCAACTTCTATAAAATACTTATGCAACTCTTAAACATTATCAATACGACTCTTGCATAATAACTCTTCTACAACAACCACTCAACACATATACAACAATCGTGCAACACTCATGCAACACTTATACGACCCAATAAAACATTTCTACGCCATTTGTACAACTCTTATACAACACTGAACACTGTCACAACTCTTATACAACATTGAAAACTGTTATAAAAACTATACAATACGTATACTTACTTATTAAACACTTATGCAACACTTACAACAACTTAAACAACACTTGCCACTCTTATACAACACTTATACTAACTTATACTTATTAAACTCTTGTAAATGACCTATACAACAATTACACAACATTCATATACCTGTATATAATATTTGTAAATAACTTATACAACTCTTATACAACATTGTATATATTACCTATATATAACACTTATAAACAACAATTATACAACACTTATACACCACATTCATATACCTGTATATAATATTTGTAAATAACTTATACAACTCTTATACAACATTGTATATATTACCTATATATAACACTTATATACAACAATTATACAACACTTATACACCACATTCATATACCTGTATATAATATTTGTAAATAACTTATATATTACATATATACAACACTTAAATACAACAATTATTCAACACTTATACACAACATTCATATACCTGTATATAATATATGTAAATAACTTATACAACTCTTATACAACATTGTAAATATTATCTATATAACACTTATATACAACACTTATACAACACTTATTTTACACTTACAACAACTTATACAACACTTATACAACACTTATATTACACTTATAACAACTTATACAACACTTATATTACACTTACAACAATTTATATTACACTTACAACAACTTATACAACACTTATATTACACTTACAACTTATACAACACTTATACAACACCAATACATAAACCTCTTATACAACCTCATATACAACGCTCATCCTACACCCATTTGCCGCCACAATACTCAACACACTTGCCATTTTTCAACTCTCCATACTCACCACCATCGAAAATTCGAACACACTCAAAACTTACCAATTCGCAACATTTTTTCAAAATTAATATTTATCAAATATTTGCCTGATATTCGAACTAACTAAAAAAATTCACATAATTCATCACACTGCAACTATTGCTCTTTCTCTCTCTCTCTCTCTCTCTCTCTCTCTCTCTCTCTCTCTCTTTCTGTTTCTATACAATCTTGTTCCATATTTAAAATTGATTTATATAAAAAAAAACAACAAAATTTTCATCAAATTAATGAAACAACATTCGAAATTCTTGTCATTTTTTCATCAAACGCGCCTGCCCAACCGCCAATCTCCCTTCCTTCTCTCTCGCTCTCGCTCTTTCTCCATTTATCTCTCTCTCCCACTTGATTTCTTAACAATCGTGCGAATTATCCAACGACCCGCAATTAATATTATTTCGCACTTAAATTTTATTTATATTTCATTTTGATTTTGATTTTCATTTTGTTCAAATTATGTCGCGTCCGCAAAAAAAAAAACAAAAAAATCTTAAAAAATACCAAAACCACCAAAAAAAAAACGAAAAACCAAAATACCGTAATACCAAAAAAAAACCAAACCGAACAAAAAAACCAACTTGAAAACCTGGCAGACAGAGATAGCAAAGACAAGGACAAGGACAAGCCGGGCAGCAATCAATTGGCCGTGCCACGCCTCTCCGTTTGCGCCGACGCCCAAAAGGTGGACCGGGCCAAGCTGGCCCAAACGGAATTCAACATCATCGAATTCGATCCAGATACGTTTCGAGTGCTACTCGACTATCTGCATACGGGCACCTGTCCCTTGACCTGTGTCTCCATACCAGGTAAGCAAAAACCACGTGTGAAACAGTTGGAATTGAAACAAATGTAGACGTGCTTCTACAGCACTGGTATTGTTCCAGTGAAGGCTAGTGAGTGAAATGTTAAGATATAACTTAATTTTAGCAAAATTAAAGTGTCTATTTGAGAAACAGTTGGCATTGAAACAGAACTTGACTTTTTGCTTGGAACAAATCTTTGAGAGACCTTAAATGTTTTTGACGATCTGTATTAAGTCAGATTGCAAAAAATGTTGAGCTATAAATTATAATAGGAACGATGGGAAAGAAACATAGAGAGGGAAGATTGTAATTGAAGCATTAAAAAGATACGTAGAGAGCTTTTCCTATGTTCCTTAGAAAAAAATATGCAAAACAGTTTCTCCTTTATTTGTATCTTTGTTGCCTTCTAATGGGAACAATGAAAAAGGAACACTGCAGGCAGGAAGCAGATACAGCTTATATATCTATGCTTAACTTCCCTGCAATGTTATTAGTACCTAATGGGAACGATGGAAAAGGCACATAGAAGAATAAAACACGCATGCAATGCTATAATATAATAGGAACGATGGAACAGGAATAAAAAAATGAAGATGAACGATGGGAAAAAAACATAGCTTCCACAACAAATTTATTTGAATTTCTTTATTTCCTTTCAGGTTTACTGTGCGCCGCAGAACACTACGATTTGCCGGAGCTGCTGCAGGCGTGCTTCCATCATTGCAAGCAGTTCCTGCGCATCGAGGTCGTCTGTCCGATGCTCATATCGTTGGAGAACTACTACTGGCGCTACACATCCGCCTCAGAGCTGGTCAACATGATATTGTCGTTCGTGGAGAGCAAGGCCCATTCCTTGTTCAAGTGCCCGGAATTCCTCAATCTGTCCGAGTCGATGGTGCAGATGATAATGTGCCGTGAGCTGCAAACGCCGGAGATACGCAAATTTGAGGCGATGCTCGCCTGGGCCCAGCACAAGGTGGCCAAACTGAAGAACCATCCCAACAAGGATACGCAGTTCGAGTTCGAGTGCATTATGGAGCGTTTGACACGTGATTTGAACCTGTGCCGCATATCGCCCAGCGAACTGCTCACCGTTGTGCTGCCATCGAAGTCGATGAAGAACGAACGGATCATGGAGACGCTAATGGTGCAGGTGAATCTCGGCACCTATCGCATGCCCGAGCTGGATGCGTACCGTCAGCAGTTGCGACAGCAAGAGTCTGCCGAGGCCAACGTGCAAGTCCATCGGGGTGGATGAGACAGTAAGAATGTGAGTTTCGATTTGGATCAACAGCCGCTGGCGCTCGCCCTAACCACTGCCGCAACCACCGCGGACACCGACTACAAAACCACCGGACTGTTAACGCCAATTGCTGCTAGTAGTGGCGGCGGCGGTGGCGGAGGCATCATAACCAGTTCGATTGCGAGCGGCATTACCCTACAATTGGATGCGCGCGCCTATGCGATGGCCTCCGTTGCCGTCGCCCTTGAACATCAGCAGCAACTGCAGCAACAGAAACAGCATCACCAGCAACAACAGCAACTACAGCAACTACACCAGCAGCTGCAGCAAACGCCTCGCGACGCCACCGACGATGAGGTGGAGCTGTATGCCAGCTTCGATATGGCGCCCAGCACCAGTCGCGTCGCCGCCCAAATGCAAGCGGCCAAGGAGGCCAGGCGCAAGCGTTGGGCCGCCGACGGTGCCAGCGGCAGCAGCGACGGTGGCTGCGCCAGTGGCAGCAGCGGCAGCGGTCGGCGTTACTAAACAAACAAAACACGATCCAACAAAAAAAAATTATTAAAAAATGAAAAAAAAAAAAGTTAAAAAAAGAAAAAGACAAAAAAAGCACAGCGAGCACAGACGAACTTTGGCAAGCCGAAGTTGCAATACTCTTGCAGCTGATAAGAAAACTAATCAAAATATATTATCAACCAATATAACATATACATATATCAATCCCTAGCGTTCCGCTCCCACGTGTTCCTTCTAGTAAATATGCTTCAGTTAAGAAGTTTCTTTTTGTAGTAAAGGCTTCAAAGAGCTCTCAAATCCGTGACCTTTGTACATACTTAGTATAACGTTCCATTTCCACATGTTCCACTAACAAGTGTGCTGCAGTTAAACAATTTCATATTATCAATTACCTTTAAAACGTTATCTAAATCGTGCCGCTGTACATAGCCTGCTATATTGTTCCATTTCCAAATGTTCCACCCAATATTATCATTTAAACTGTAGAAAAAGCTTCAAATCCATTGCCTTTGTCCATTACCCTGGTGCAGTGTTTCATTACCACATGTTCCACCTAGTAAATATGCTGCTGTTATTAATGTCAAACTAATAAAAACATTTCAAACAGCTCCAAAAATACAATTACTGATGTGGTGTTCCATTTCCACATGTTCTACCCAATGTAATGTACACAAACTCCATTTACAAATGTGTGCTTAAAAAAATTGATAAGAACGAGTTTCCTACTCTGCTCAAAACGCACTTGGTGTTCCGATTCCAAACGTTCCCATAGAATAATAAGTTGCACGCATGAATGAATGCCCCGCGTTAGCAATTATTATCTTTAGAACCCATCTTAAGAAACCGTATCAAAGCAAAACAAGTAAGTGTTCCGTTTCCGCTGTTCCACAAAAGTTAAATTCAAAGAGCCAAACAATACTGCAAGGATATTATGCATGAGAGTGTGTATGTGAGTGTGTGTATGTCTGTCTGTGTGTGCATCTAACCCACCGCTCTAAAGCGCCCTGAGAAGCCGAACAAAGAGAACCATCCAAATCGAAGCTGACATTGTTAACTCTTACATTCACCCCGCATGACAAAATGCCAAAATGAGAAATGAAGCAAGCAGAATTTTCTACCAAGTATTACCTACAATTAATTATATATCTGTGTATATATACATACATATATATACATATACAATATATATATATATATATATATATATATATGTATATATATATATATATATATATATATATATATATATATATATATGTTTGTATATGTAACCTATTGTAACTATGTTTAGTACGAGCATATGCCAGAGCAAGAGAAGCAGATAGAGAGAGACAAAGAAGAGAGAGAGAGAGAGATAGAAAGCTTTGAAATTTACATGTAATGTAGGCAAAGCAAACGTTTTTGATACCCTCACAAAAAAAATTACATAAAAAGCTGGCACATCCGTTACAAAGGAATACCCTAAAAAAATTTAAAAAATAAAAAAAAACAAAACAAAAACAAAGAACAAAAAAAACGCTTACTGATGTAAAACAAAGACTTAAGAAAAATGATAAAAGAAAACCATTTTTTTTTAAATCAATGTTATTAAAAATGTAAGCTCTACCAAGTTTTTGGCAAACCAAACCTAACCAAACATAACCTAAAAACTAAATGAAGAAAAACCCTTAAGAAAAATAAATATATATACACATATACGTATATATATGTACATACGTTTACACACTCGTATATGTATTTAAATGTTAAAAGAAAAAACCAAATTTCAAACTGAATCACTTTGTTATTTTTAAATATTAAAAAATACCAAAAGAAAATTATGATAATTGGCAAAAATACTGAAAATGGCTAGCCATGTACTGTGTGTGTGTGCGCGCGTGTGTGTGTGTGTGTGTATGTGTGTGTATACAGACTTGCATATACACAAGTTAGCTATAGATCTATATATATATATATATATATATATATATAAATATATATATATAAATATAAATATATATATATATATATATATATATATATATATATACATATATACTCTACCTATACAATAGACTTAATATACATAAGATAATATTGTTCTAACTATGCAACCAAAAATACCACAGAAATACTAAGCAAATGGATTAAATATTCCACAATGTGTGTGTTAAATGCTATAATTGCCTGTCCTTAAAAGAGTTAATAGTTTACCAGCAGCTGATATACCTGTTAATGTTCATGTTAGTTGCTTAGAAGTTAAATAATATTTAGTTGTCAAGTTTTCTAGACTAGGCTGCAAGGCTTCTTCGATTGTTGACTGACAGCTAAATCTGCTTGTCAGACCTAAATGTTAAAGTACCTGGCTTATTTGCCAGGAACATTTATTAATTAGTTTGAGCGGCTTCTTCACTTGTTAAATTCCAGTTAACTTCTAAATGGCAAAACTTAATGCTAAAGTGACTGCTAAGTTTGCCAGGCACATTAATTGATTTGCCATTTATTAATTATAGAGTCTATTGCTAGTTAAAATGTCTAACAAGACTGACAAGCAATTTAAACCAAATGTTAAACTGCCTGGTAAGTTTGCCAGGCACATTTGCTCGAATTCCGATTGATTTTCGATGGATAGTTTAAAAGCCGATTAATTTTTAGCTTACTTGGAATGTGCAAACGTTCTCTGAATACCCCTAACACGTGCTCATAGTATACCTGCTCTAGATCTAAATAGATATACATCTGAATATATATATATATATATATATATGGATATATACCTGTGCTATATATACCAAACTTTTAATGCAGTCCGTTCGGTTGCTGGCATCTCAAATAAATACTAAGTATCTGTCTGTTTGTTCAAATACAATACCATAAACGTGCTGTCATATGGATGTGTATATATGTGTGTATACAAATATATATAAATATATATATATATATATATATATATATATATATATATATGTATATATCTTATAAATGAAATAACAAAATTGACATAACGTAACGGCAGCATTTTCAAAAAGGGTTTCACTTAACGGTTCAAATGTGTATATCAAAATTAAAGACATGCATACCTACGACAACAACATTTTTTTATAGTATATGTATACATACTAACTTATTATATATATATATACATACATACATACATACATACATACATACATATACATATATACATACATATATATAAAGATATCTATATACATATATATATATCTATATATATATATATACATGTCTGCCAGCACACCGCTGGGCATATGCTTAAAAGCACTTAGCCATAAGCCAACAACAGTAATAGAAGAAGACGAGGAAGACAAGGTTAAAAAAGAAGCAGAAGTAAGCGCTTTAAGTGTGCAAAACTTGTTGAAAAATTATGCTAAAACCTTATCAAATCAGTGTGCAACTTAATCTCGAGCTAAGCAAATAGTATACAACATATGGGACAAATGGCAATGGAACTGTTCAAAATACAATTCAAATCAAAATTAGTTTGCCGATGCTAAATATAGCGAGGCTAGCGGAACATAGGAAAACGAAACAAAACAAAACAACAACAACCAAAACTTGAATAGAACATATGAGAAATTTAACTTAGCTAGACACAAAATGGAATGGAACAGTTCAATAGGACCGTTCGCCAAGTAAACAGGCAACGGAACGTAGTGGCATGAGACAGTCTCAAACAGTATTTTTAACTTGGAAATCAATGTGAAATAGAACTTAAGAATCGTAGTTAAAATTGGAATAAAACCAATAAATAGAAAAATACATGGAACAGCTGGGGGAAAATTTATTAGTTCTTTTCTTGTCAGGCGATACAAAGCGGAATGGAACATATTTGTAAGCAAAATACATATTAGCTAGTTAAGATATACGAAATAAAACCAAACCACTTGAGGTTGGCCAGAAAAGCTAACTTAATAAATAAATATACTCATAGATAAGCCCAATCAATACGTTGATAGAAACTTATTCACTTACATTACAACTAACTAACTAACTAACTTACTAACTGGATTCAAAACCAAAGAAAATAACCATATTTTGCATAATTGCAACAAAGTGTTTCTAAGTGTTTGTGCCGTGCTGTGTTACAACCAAAACAAACATAAAACCAACGTATAAACATATTCAAACCATATTACATACTTTGAAAACGCTTTCGACATCCAGTTGAAAGCCACAAAGGAAGGACGGAGAAAAAGAAATTAGAAGAACTTTGGATTTGACGAAGTTCGGCGTGTTCTATTCCCGAATGTTAATAAGGAACAGAAACAAAAAGTGCAAAGGGAACAGAATGGTGTGAAAAGAAAGAGAGACTGGAGAGTAATGGGCAAGGAACATAGGAAGAGAAACAGGAATCAGAACAGGGAAGCGGCAGAAAAGGAATAGGAACAAAAACAGGAAACAGGAAACAGGAACAGAAACGGAAATGGGAACAGGAACATAAACAGGTGACGGAACAGAACTAGGTTCACGAACATAGCTAGGAACAATTGAATATGAATAGGTTCAGAAATAGAATAGGAACAGGAAAAGAGACAGAAACAACAATAGGAACAAGACAAGTAAAAGCAACAGCTGAAAAAGAATCAGAAACTGGCTTAGAAACAGGGACAGAACATGCACTTGACGACTTTCTTCGTATACCATAAACCCAACCACAAAATATAAACAAGAAAACCGGAAAAAAAAAATTTTTTGAAGCACACGCCGAATACTCTACTAAAAACTAAGTGAATGTTGTAATTGCCAGAACATAAACAAACATTGCAAAAGCTCAGACGACTTTACCTATATATCAATATCTATATATGTATAGATATATATATATATATATATATATATATATATATATATATATATATACATATATATATATACAGATATATATATATTTATGCATATACACGATTACATTCCATATATACATGTCTTATTAAAACCAAAAATAATTACTGTCTGGGAAATTATATATGTATAATTTAGAAGCTTAAGCTTATACATATACATCCAAAAAATGCTCTACATATATATATATATATATATATATATATATCCATATATACATACATATATGCATATATATCTATATATATATCTATATATTTGCATACGCATATTATCAATATACACAATAAGCCAGAATCTAAATTGATATAACCTATATGTAACTATATATATGTGTATATGTGTGCTATATTTATATTATATATATATATATGTGTATATATATGTGAAATTAAACTGATTTGAAAAAATAAAAAAAATGTGTTTTTCAATTGGGATTGGAATTTTATAGGAATTGGAGCGCTTGGAATTGAAACACTACACGCAAATGCTTCTGCTAAGGTAACGTCGAAATATCAAGCTAAAATATTAAATTCGATCTGATCTATATGATCAGATGAAAGAAATCAAATTGGTACGGTTGGAATTGAAACACTACTCGCAAATGCTTATGCTAAAGCATACATATTCAATTTGCTTCGATCATATATATGTTATAAAGTTGCATCAATTAGAAATTTGATTTGAATATATTTAAATATTTCATAGGATATGATTATATCAACGAAACAATTAATGTTGGAACGATTGAATCTGATGGAATACAAATGAAACAATTGGCCATGAAACACGAATAACAACTGTTCAATATATATTTGGAATTAGATAAGTTAAATTATAGTAATTAAAATATGGAAAATTGAACAAGAGAAACTATTGGAATTTAAATTGGAGTGGGCGCTTATAGGCCATGACGTCGATATATAACAGAGAAAAAATTTATATGATAAGTATTTAATTTTTTTTTCAATTTGGGGGTTTTTTAGATCCGTTTTCATTTTATTTAATTTTTGAATTATAGACTTTAATTATTACATTTCTTATTGTTGTTATTATCATTATCATTATCATTACTGTTATTAGTATTATTGGTATTCATAAGAGTTTACATTCATTTGATTTTGTTGATTTACTTAAATGTTCGCAACTTTTCATCATTTTCATATATATTTTACAATATTAATACAGATATATATACATATACATATATGTGTGTACATACCATACACTATATATCATTGGTTAAAACTAAAAAGTAGACCTACAGACCGATGCGCATATATGTACACATATACATACATAAGTATATAGTCCAAAAAGCTTAAACTTTAAACACATAAATCAGTCGAAATACATCATTTAATTATTTTATTTTTTACTTTTCTTTTCTTTTTTATTTTAAATAAATTAACATACAAATAAATTTAACTTGTTTTTTTTTTGTTTCGAAATTTTGTTTACTTTTTTTTTAAATTTTGTTTGTTTAATTTTACAAAGAGAAAAAAAAGAGAAATTAAATTGGATTTTGATTACAAACAGCAAATGCAAAACATACACATTCGATATATATATATATATATATTTATATATACATATATATGTGTGTGTGTGTGTTACATATATATACACATGATTTTCTTATTCATTTATATACAATTTGAATTTTTAAATTTTGTTTTTGTTTTTCTTTTTTGGGCTAAAATTAAATAATTTACTCGTTAATTTGTTATGAACGCACAGGAACAAAACATTGAGGTCGCTAAGCTGCACACACACACAAACACACACGCAAAGATACAAGTTATTAGAAATTTGTAGTATTATGTTGCGGCTCGATATATATATATGCATATATATGTATTACATATGGTAAGCTAAGGAACTTGGTTTGAAAGAATTCTATTTTGATAACGAAACAAATAATACATAATAATACAAATCAACTGAATATAAACATACACACACACATATATATATATATATATGTACATATGGCAAGTCTTTTCTGCATATAGTACATAGTATATAACTGTTATGATCTTATTATAATGTCTATATAGGTTTGGCCAAAAATCATAATTAAAAACTTTGCTCAAGAAATTTAACTATTGCACTATTATTGTTGTCTCAGCATTTGTATACAAATATATATATATACATATACATATATGTGTGTCTATATTTTGCTGCATTTTAGTATTTCAATATATATATAAACAGATATATATATGTATATATGCTAGTTATATGGCGCTATTGCAGTTACAGTTCGTTTCAGTTGACTAACAAAATTTATATATATACACTCACACAAATACACATACACACACACATGTATTATTAAAAAAAAAAAAAATACAAACATTTGTGTTACAAGTTAAAAGAAAACATATTTTTGTTGTTGTTGTGAACTAGTTTGAATTAATCATTAGAAGACTCAAGCCTTAGCTACGGCCTAAATATATATACGCTATATATATACGACTTTTGAACACTTTCGTTTGCTGTTGTTGGTTGTTGGTTGTTCACATGTATTGCTTGTAATTGTTGTTTGTTGCTAGCTGCTTACAGGTCCAGCGAGTGTCTATACGTTGCTGGAGGCCCAACGTCCGCCGCTGCTGCTGCTGGAGTTGTTGTCGCTGTTGCTGTTGCTGCTGTGTTGCTAGCAGCAACAGTTGCTGTGTCTGCTGTTGTTGCTGCTGCCTCGTCGTCTGGCCCATCATCGAAGCCATACCAACATCACATGACCATTATTTGCAGCGCTACTCATTGATCTATGGTGCGATAGATGCGTCGCTGCGGCTCGGGCGTGTAGTGGATGCGCGTGCGAAAGTGCTGCGGCGAGCCGGGCACACTCTCCGAGCCGCGACGTGGCGGCGGCAATGGCGGCGATGCCGAAACATATCTGAAAGACAAAAGCACACAAGTTAGAAGCCGTCAATAGGTTGCGTTTGTTGTTGTTGTTGTTATTCAACTCTCACCGTCGCTGCAGCAGCGGTGAGCCCGCTGGCTGGCCGCTCAGCTCGAGCAGATTTTTGCGCAGCAACAGCGGCGACTGGCCGCGATTGTAGCGTGGCGGTGGATCCGGACTGCGATGCCGTCTATCCAGGCCCGCCAGCAAATGTGGACTGGGCGGTGTGCTGTTGCTGCCGCTGCTGTGATTGCCGGCGACAATGCCGCTGCTGGCGTAGCGACGCAAGAAGCCGCTCGTTGCCGTCGCACCGCCAATGCTGTGCACCACTGCAGCGCTGCCCGTTAGTGGCTCCGTGGTGGGCGAGGTGCTTTGGCTGGTATTGTGACTGTGGCTGCTGCTGCTGCTGCTCGCCGCTGACAGCGTGCGATAATAATAGGTTTTGGCTGTCGTATTGTGGTTATGGTTGTGGCTGCTGCTGCTGTTGGTGGTTGTGGCGGTGCCATTATTGCCTATGTTGCGATAGGCTGGCGGTGCTGGTGGCGGCGCCAGCGCCTGGGCCGGCTCCTGTTCGTTGCCGTTGACCAACGTCTGAGCCGTCGCTGTGGAATTCAATTGGGTTTTAACATAGGTCGCAAATTGTCGCTTCATGGCGCCAGCGAGTGTATTGAACCAGCCTGATTGATTGATGGATTGATGATTGATGTGCAGTGTGCGCGTGCGTGCGTGTGTGTGTGTGTGGTGCAAGCGTGCATGTGTGTGTGTAAACAAAGAGAAAGAGCATAAACAAAAAGCGCACAAGCGAGCCAAAGAATTAGTTGAGAGCCAACACAAAAACAGGTAAGAGCGCTCTAGTCGGCTGTGCCCGACTAGTAGATACCCTGCAACCAGCAACCTGGTCCCCTCTGCAATATTTCACACATACACACATACTCATGCATTCATGTATGACCTAAGTATGTGACATTTTTGAGGCATCTAGATTTTAGGCTCTTTAAGTTATGCCTCAAAAACCAAGTTATAAAATCGATTTTTATCGAAAAGCAATTGATATGAAGATAAATATTATATACTTAAGCTGGGCATAGACCAATATGGAATATATATCTATTCCCAGTTGCAGTCTCTAGCATTTGTAGTTTACGAGTTCGTACGATCGGGCGGACAGACTAAGAGCACTGGATCGATAGAGCTTATCGAACCAGACTTGCCATATTCAATGAGTTCATGATATATACAAAAACAAGCCGAACAGGAAAACAAATAAATTCAAGCGCAAACATCGTGGATGCATATCAAATGAGCGTAACATAGCTGACAGCTTTTTGTCTGCCACTCACCGGCATCCGTTTGAGTGCTGTAGACGTGCTGCTGCTCTCTGGCTTCGAGATTGTTGCTGCTGTTGCTCGGCTGCTGGCCCAGCAGCTGGCGCCGCGCATACAATTTGCTTAACTTGCTGCCGGCGACTTGAGCCGTGCCATAGTCCGGCTGCAGTTGCTCAGGCGATCTGCTGGGCAGGCTGCTGCTGTAGAACGCACTAATGTCGCTAGCTGTTGCTGCTGCTGCTGCTGCTGCTGGTGGTGGTGTTGCTGCTGTTGTCGGTGTGAGCGGCAATGGCTGGTATTGCAACTGGGCCGCATTGCCCACACCAAAGTGTCCGGCGGCTGTGGCACATGGAGAGGCGGGCGCTGCGCTGGCTATTTGCGAGCACGTCGACTGCGTCGATGACTGACTAGAGGTGGAGTGCGATGAGGGTGGCGCCACATAGTTGCTGTGAAACGGATTCGTGCTGGTGCCCGTGGTGGTTGCCGGCGCAGCACGCAGCAGCGTTGGCGTCAGCGGCGGCACCGGCGGCGGCGACTGAAGAAAGTGATAAAGTTGCGGTGATGACTGTGGCTGTTGCTGTTGCTGCTGCTGCATCTGATAATATTGTGGCAACTGTTGTTGTTGCTGCAGATGATGTTGTTGTTGCAGATGTTGTTGCTGCTGCTGCTGCAGCTGATGTTGCTGTTGCCGCTCGGCTGCCTCCTTTTCACGCAACTGATTCTGTTGATGGTAGAAGCGCTGCAACACTGCATAGACAGAGACAGGGAGAGAGAGAGACACAGAATTTTATTAACATGGACTGAACTATAGTGAGCTAAAACACTTGTATAATAAACTTTGTGTTTATCTTAATTGAGTTAATAAATCTATATTTAGCAGTTAACATGCTGAGCATTTCCTAAACTATGTTGTGTAGTTAAATATAGAGAAAACTCAAGTCAACAAAAAGCCCACTTAAAGACATGAAAATGAACATGGATAATGCATTTTTGATTGGGCTTAAATACGCTAACTTTGCAGAGTTATAAAGTGTTCTGAAGTTATGCACAGTTACATAAATATATAAACATGATTGCTACTAATTAACAAATGTGAACAAGTTGTCTAGAGGGGCATTACAAATGCCTGCCAATATCATTGCTAAACCTTGCTATCATCGTCTTACAACTCCTGCTATATTTGATTGCAACAGAGAACAAAAGCGAGTGTTTAGTGAGAGCGCGAGAAGTAAACAGCAACAAAGTGTTCTGCCATACAAAAGATGTTGCTTGTGGCTAATAGTTTCAAAAAAATATATAGTAAAAGTTATGCATCAAGAAAATTTATCAACTCTTAGCTAATGCAGCACTACTTTTATAAAAGACAGGAAACTAAGCCCTTGTTCACTGGGATACTTAAAAAATCGATTTAAGCTGCTCTACAGACTCTTGTTATGTTGTGCAACATTAACATATATATATATATATATATTTCTTAAATGATATATCTTCTATGCTAAATGTCCCTCACCTATGGGACTTTGATTGCCTGGCTGCAATCGCTGCTGTTGCAGTTGCTGCTGCTGTTGTTGCTGATTGTTGAGCTGCAATGTTGTTGGCATTATTGTTGCTGTTGTTGTTGTTGCTGTTGCAGTTGCTGTTGCCATCGTTTGCTCCATTATTAGATGCTTGCGCTGCATTGTGGGCGAGCTGACTGCCAAATTGACATTATCAATGCTACTATCACAGGTGTCGTAGGGCAGACGCCATTTGGGCGTGGCCAACAGCTCCGTGGGCGTTTTCACTTTCTTATTATGATGCGGCAGTGTTGTTGGAGTTGTTGTTGCTGTTGTTGCCGTTGGTGTTGTTGCTGTAACAATTGGCTGATGTTTCTTCTGACTGAACGGCGATGTGGTTAAATTGCGTAAAATCGATTGACCTGCAACAGACAAAGGGCGTTAGTCAGTGGGCGTGAGTGTGGGCATGGTCATGGTATGCACATACCTATGCTGCTAAAAACAGACTCCTTCTTGGGACTCTCATCGTTGTACTTGTAGTGAGAGCCATTGCTCAGCTTGCGCTGCATGAAAGGCGATTTCCGATAGAGCTTGCCAATGTCATTGTTACCGCCGCCGGCAGCAGCTGCTGCAGCTACGCCAGCCGGTGGCGACATGGGACTGGGACTGGCGCCGCTGCTGCTGCTGCCACTGCCACCGCTGCTAAAGTAATTCAATGTGTTTGACGTTGCTGCTGTTGTTGTTGTTGTTTGTTGAGGTAGTTGTGTGGCTGATTGTATGAAATACTGCGTAACCGGCAACTGCTGCTGCTGCTGCTGCTGCTGCTGCTGCTGCTGCTGCTGATAGCTTGGAATCTGTGTGGGTTTTATTGTCTTCAGCGTTTGGGTTTGTGTTTGCGTTGGACTGCGCGTTGCTCCTGATGCTGCCGCTGTTTCAGTTGTTGCAGTTCTTCCATACAATGTGGCAGCTTCCTTGGCGCGTGTTGCTGCTGCTGCAGCTGCTGTTGTCGTTGTTCCTGTTGCTGTTGCTCTGCAAGTAACGCGTGAGTGTTAATAATTGTTGCCAATATAAGGAGAGAACACACACACACACACACAAAATGTACGCCAGCATGGCAGCGAAAGAGTGAAAAAGACAGAAAGACACAAAGACAGAGAGTGAGGCAGAGAGAGAGAGAGGGATATAGAGTTTGTGTGTAATGCGAGCGAGTGAAAGCGGGAGGCATGTGTGTATATACGTGTTGATATATGTGTGTGTGCGTGTAATGGGCATATGTTTAGATATAGCGAGATGTCATATAGGACATGTATGTATATACATATATATAAATATGAAAGCTAAATGAGATCAGTGAGACAATGAAGCGTATGAATGAGAGAGGGAGCAATATACTAAACAGAGAAAGCACTAAAAAGGGAGGTAGAGAAAGAGAGAGAAAGAGACTGCAATAACCATTGATACCAAATATCAACAGGTGTGTAGTATAAAAAATCGATAACTATCGATAGTTAGAACAATTAAAAACCTATTGAATTATCGCACTATAGTGAACATTACGTAGAACATTTGGTTGAAGCTGATTTCTTAAAGATATTTAAGATAATTTCGATAATCCAAAATTATGTACAAAGTTAAAATCGATCATAATCGACCATTTTCGATATCACTTTATATCGATAGTTTTCGAAGATAACGTAAAAATGCCCGATTGTGCATAATCAGTTGCTAGTAATGAGCATATCTAATCATAAATGGTTTATCGATCATTATCGATAAGCAGCCATAGCAGCCAATCGTAAAATCTGCAAGTTTCTCCCTCTCTCTCTCTCTCTCTCTCTGCCGCTATTTTGTTCACATTTAACGTCCGCAAAATGTTGGATACTCGTTATAAGTAAGCTTATTAAAAATGATTAATCGATAACAATGGTTATCGATGTATGCCTCATGTCTGCACTTTCTCTGTCACTTTCCCTTTTGTCGTACTCTTTTAAGCGTTCCCAAAGTAATTGTCTAAAAGTGTTCCATTTGCCAAAACGTTTCCCTACACATATGCTATGGACCACATTTTGAGACGCTAGATGGCGCTGTAAGAAACTGAAAAAACAAACCAGGAATGGCCATCGAATTGTGCAATGAGTCAATTCACCCAAATAACCAAATGAGAACGAATGAAATGGAACAAGCGAAATGCTGCAACGGGATAAATACATAAAGAACACATATATACATAGATATTAAGTATATATACAATTTTATATATACAAAAGCGGTATGTGCAATGTGTGATGGCATTGAAACGAAACGGAATATGAAACAGAACGAAACAATTGCGCTGCAAACATTTATGAAGCGAAACAAAAGCTACAAATTTATGGAAATAAAACAACAAAAATAAAGCAAGAAAATTTCAAAGCCAAAAATTTACCTCGATCGCTGTGTGAAGTCTATTTATTTATTTAACCACTTTTATTGTTTTAATATTAATAATAATGAAAAGGTGTTAAGCAACAGGCAACAGGCAACATGCAGCGGAATTACAGTAAAAGTACATCAATTAATTAGTAACAAAATGAAGATAAAATTTAGTAGTTAAAAAATACAGGAAGAAACAATTAGAAATTAATTAAATCATGCGCATCAAATATCAATAATAATAATAACAATAATAATAATAATAATCATAATAATAATAACAATAATAAAACTCGGTCGTACTTACTGAATATTACTTTTGATAGATACTTTATTATTTAATTTTTTTGGGACGATTTTTGCTTAATGGTTTTTGATTTATCTTGATTATATATCGTGGTAAGGGTATTTAAATTAATATTATATATTTATATATACGCTCATAGATACATATATATATATATATAGTTATATAATGGTTGATTGCTTGCATTATTGGTTATAATTAATTAGGTTTTTGTTGTTGTTGTTGTTGTTGTTTTTTATGTTTTAATTTTTTAATGTTTTCATGTTTTGGTTTTAATCGGTTTTACAGTTTGTCTGGCATTATCTTTGCTTGTATCATATATAGTAAATATATATATATATATACACGTATATATATACATATACACATACATATATATATATATATACATATATATTAGGAATTAGGTAACCTACAAAAAATTGTAATAAAAAAGATGAAAATAGAAAATCAAAAAAGAAACACACAAATTAAATAGTCAATAAAACGCAAAATATTCGAATTATATTTGTTTCTCTATTGTTTCTGGTTTCTACGTAATACCTATTTGGGAAGAAAGGGGGGTTGGGTGTGGTTTACTAGAGGGGATTGGGTACGTCGATGCTAAAAATTTATACATGGCATATGCACTGCTCATTCTGTACGGACAGTCCATTTTATGAGCTTCGATTTTGGTTGTGGAACGAAACGGAATGAAACATACTTGACTATTCCACTGAGCATGGCTATATTTTGATTTAAAACGAAACGTAATGAAATCGAGAAAGCTTGAATGTTTTGATCTGACTATGTCATGAAAACAAAACGGAATGAAACAAATTGGAATGATTAACGTAAGACCGTTTAGATATTAAACGAAATGAAATTGTATTAAATGGATTCAAATGCATTTCTTAGGGATGAGTTTCTTTTCTTAAAGGAACGAAAGGGAATGAGACGGTCTTGAATGTTCGTCTGCCACAAACTATGTTTTACTTTCAAACGAAACAGAATGCAATAGAAAACTTGAATGCTTTTCTTGGAAACAATACGGAATGAAACAAAATGATTCAGATGTATAAATTAGATAAAATAATTCGACTTTCGTTTTTCCCCCAGAAACGAAACGGAATGGAACAGACTTTAATGCTCTTCAATACGCCCGCAGCCAGTGCATCTTTTTAACATAAATGTAAGTGTTACGAAAGAAGGAAAACAAATCCAAAAAAGTAGCTAAAAAGGTAATAGCAACAGGTAGTAGAAATGTGCTCAAATCTTAGTAAAATAGGATACAAAAAATCATAAAAAAAAGTGAAGTAGAAGAGTGTGTGCATAATAGGAGAGAAGGAAGAGAGGCATGCCAACATTTTGCTAAATTTAGGAAGGAGTTAAAAGTGAAGTTTAATTTTAATCTTTTTTTTTTTTTTTTTTTATTTTTTAGTTTACAAACTCAGCAAACACCCTGGAATTAGGTACGATTTTTAGTTGTAGTTCATTATTTAAGTTTTGTTTGGCAATTTTTTTTTGGCCTACCTGTTAGGAAATTGTTTTTTTTTGTTGTCAGAGTTAGGCTGAAGAGAAATCAAAATAGAAAACGCAACGTAACGGAATGAAACAAAAGCGGAAACGGAAACAAACAATTGAAACGAAGCGTTGTTGTGTTCATGACGCCCACACACATACAAACACACACACGCACACACACGCACGGACACACAGGCACACAGACAGCAGGCAAATGGCTAAAGGCAAATTGTTCTCATATTTGTTTGCTGGCTCGGGACGTGGGTCGGGAATGTTGGCTTATATCGAGAGGTCGGCTTTAACTTGTGGAGCTCGTAGAACTCACCTCGTCAGGGTGGCATCACCATTGGCGCGCAGACGCTTTCCGGCAGCTGAGTCCATCACATTTTGAAACCAGCCTGGCACATCGACCTTGGCCTGCTCATACATCTTGATAAATGGCTGGGCCAGCAGCTCCGGATACTTGGGTCGATCCTGATGGTTCTTAGTGAGGCTAAGGCCACATGCAAACAGAGCGAGAGAGAGTGTGAGGCAATATGTATAGATATGCGTACTTCAATCACTTTACCACTTGATGACAAAGTCACGAAACTGTTGACTGAAATTGTAGCCCTCGCCGCTGGGCAAACAGGGCGGCTCTGAGTCGAGCACCTTGGTCAGCACCTCAAAGTCCGTGTTACAGCCCTCGTATGGTGAGCGTGCAGTTGCCAGCTCCACAAGCGTTATGCCCAACGACCAGACATCCGCTCTTATATCGTACTTTGGTTTCTTCGGATCGATGCGTTCCGGCTGCAATAGACACAATTTTGGTAATTCGATATCGATATATATATATATATATATATATATATATATATATATATATATATATATATATATATATATATATATATATATATATATATATATATATTTATATATATATATACTACAATTTATATATATATATATATATATATTTATTTGGTACTATCCCGACTTACCGCCATGTAGGCTGCACAGCCAGCGGAACGTGTGTTCGCTTTAGAGTCTACTAAGCGTCCACTAATCCCAAAATCGCATAGCTTTATATTGCCGCGCTCATCAATCAAAATGTTCGATGGCTTCACGTCGCGATGGATGACGCCGTGTTTGTCCTTCAGATAGGACAACGCATTAACCGTCTGCAAAGCAGAAGATAGAAAACATTAAATAACCAAGGATAAGGCTTGAGTTCAGTGTTGTATAACAGCAACAGTTGTTCTACAAATCCTCTACAATTTAACAACACTGACTAAGAGTTAAAGCTTCTATGATTCTTCTAGTTTTCTGAACTATTTATTAAAATCAGGGTTGTAAAGTACCCCACAACACTAAAAAATATCACTTATAATTCAAGTTATATAGTTGGCACTCTGTATATAAGAAAGGAGTGATGTAAAGCACAAAATGTGTATAAATTTTGTCATTTATCAACAATACATGATTTATCTATTACTTTAAAGAAACAGTGTTGCATAACGACACTTCTACACTTCACTCACGAAACTTACCGCCACAGTGACCTTGCCTAGAATTGGCTCCGGCACCGGTTTCTTGGTCAATTTAAGCAACTTATCGAAGCACATGGACATCAGCTCCATGCAGATCCAGACATCCGGATCGCGTACAAAACAGCCCAAGCACTTGACTATATATTTGCAGTCGTGCGACTTAAGCACAACATCCAGATCCATGAGAATGCGTTTGTTCTCCTCGGCGTTGCCGGTGCGTCGCATTTGTTTAACGGCAATGATCGTGTTGCTGGAGACGTGCAGCATTTTGACCACATTGCCGCTGGTTCCGTTGCCCAAGTCACCCAGATGCTGTAGATCACGGATATCTGTCGGATAGTGGCGGCCATTGATTTTCAGCTTGCCCGTCTGGCCCATTATCATCTTCAGCTTTTTATCCGTTTCCGATTCAGAAGGATGCGAATGTGTTAGCAGCGGCAACATCATGCGAGGTCGAGTCGATCCTCCAGTTTCACCTAGATACATAGAGAGGCAGAGTGAGATCAGTTTTCATTTAAATGTGCATAAATAGGCTTGAATTCTTATCAATGTGTGGATAAATCATAAATAGCGCAGCAAATTATGTTGCCCTTTTAACCTTTTTCCCGCTAAATCTGAACATAGTTTTCTTGGAGATATTGAAAAGGAGCGAGTCCAGCTGGTTTATAGTTTTTATTTTACCTAATTGAATAACGTAACACATTTAAAGTTCCGTTAACATCAACATTTCATCAAGTTGAATTCATTTAGCGTTTGCAGCTCTTTTCCTTAAACAGCTTTTAGCTTTGTTTTGATTTTCACTGATTTTACGTTTTGTTGTTCTCCAAAAACGGCAACACTGACCAATAACCGTTAGTCAAAAACAAAGCGAATATACGTGCGTATATATATATATATATATAAATGTGTGTGTGTGTGTGTTCATGCACACTGGCACAAAGCTCATTTACTTCGAGCACATTCGCTACTCAAGGCCAATGTTATCAATTTCGTTGATTTGAAAACGTGGGAATTTGCTTGGCCAAACATTTTAATCTATATCTATAAATAGTTTTATAAACAGGGCGCAAAAAATGTCAATAGAAGTGGAAGTATTTCATATTTACTTTTTTATTAGCCAAAATAAGGAAAATAGATATATATATATATTTTTTATCAATATGTGGTACCACAGCAGTTCGAGTTCGAGTTCACCTTTTCGAGCTTAATTTGTTCTCAGGACATATAAAGTGAACAACAGTAAAATAATATTTAACATACTGATATTTTCATATGTATACAAGTAGACCTATATCAAGTCTAGCTTGCCCCACTGTGCCTTACATTACAAACTGCGAGACGCATAAAGTGCGTTGTTATTGTTAAAATTATGACAACAATAATTGTTGTTATTGTAAGCGTTAAATAGTTATTACTTATCAGTTGCCTCAAATGAAATATTACTACTTATAGCAACAACAATGGCAACAATAAAACGCAAGACGAAGACAAATTTCGCCGCAATCCTCACGCGAGTCACGCTGTCTCCGCTGTCTTCGCCGCAGCCGTCGTTACTGTCTTACTGTAGCTTATGCGTGTGTGCATGTGTGCGGGTGAAGAAACGCGAAACCAAAAGCGAATACAAAAACAAACAACAATGTGAGCGAGCGACGGCGACAACGGTGAAGGCGGCAGCGGTGGCGGCGAAGTGCGCGTATCAAGACATTTACTCCGGAAATGCCAAAAAAAATGCCAACAAACATACCAAATGAAATCGGCAACAAAAGCAGCGACGAGGACACACACATGAACAAATATAAACGCACCAAATGGGAGAGCATCTGTAGACTGAGTGGGAAAGATAAAACCGAGCTGCAAAGTGCATTTCCCGTTAATTTGCAATGAACCTCACGTGTGCAGGGCGTGCACAAGTCAATTGAAATTGGACCAATACTGCAAAAGAAAGGGAGTTGCAAAACCAATTGGACTTGCTATTGTACTGTTTTAATTAATAGGTTACCGACCTAGTTGAAATTGTCTGTGGGTAGATTATGATTCCAAATTGGAAACATTTTAAGACAGTTCAATCATATTTTCTTGTTGGGCAAAAATGCATTTGCTTATTGGAATAAACATATAATAAAAGTGTAACTATTTCGTATTTTCTTTATAATATATATAATAGATAAAAACCAATTGCATCATATATGCTGAAGGTCTTTTTTTATCAAATAAAAAGATATATTAGAAATTATATTTACATTTAAAGATTTTCTCATTCAAGCTTAAAATTTCCTATTTGAATTCCCATTGATATGTCTATTTATCGATAACATTTGCAAGCCGACAGTTAAAAGGACAAATCTAATAGGAAACAATGCGAATCTGACAAACACACACACACCCGCACACAGCCAATCACAAAGCAAGCGATGCTGCAGCGACGCGGACAAGTGTATGTGTTGATGCTGCCGCTGCTGCGTCGCTGCATTTGGCGAAAACAAGTTTTCGTGTTGTTTTTGGTTTGTTTTGCTCACAGCGTGCGCTTATCTATGCAATCGAAACGCAGAGATCGATAACGTGTGCCCTTTGTTGAGGGTATTACATGCAAGTACATGTCCACTCACACACACACACACACACATACAAACGTATATACGTATATACAAACGTATATGTGCAGCTGAATTCATAAGTAAATGACTATTTATCATATCTATTGAATCGCCAATTTCTTATCAACACCAACACCAATACACACACACACATGCATATGCACATATATATCTATGTATTTTGGAATTAACTTACGTATGGGCAAACTGGGCGTTGGGCGCATACTCCTGGTGGGCAGGACAAAGATACCAGACGACAGAGACGTTGACGTCGACGTCGGCACCGGCAGCGCTGTCGCTGGTCTGGTTGGTGAGGCGGCGACATTGTTGGCGGAAGAGGCATCGGCAGCGGCGGCTGCTGCTGCTGTTTCTGCTGCTGCTGCCGCCGCTGCGGCGCTAACGGCCGCTGCACTGTTTGGTGTTGCTGTTGCTGTTATTGCGCCTGTGTGTGTTGTTGTCGTCGATATTGTTGTTGGCCGAACACGCTTTGATAAGACGATTTGTTCATGTGATTCGTTTTGCGCCTGCAGCGCCACCTCCAGCGACTGCAGCCGACTGCCAATTGTCTCAAATTCGATTGTGCTGGACATTGTTGCAGTTGCAGTTGTTGTTGTTATTGGTGTTATTATTATTATTATTATTGTTAATATTATTATTATTATTATTATTATTATTATTATTATTATTATTGTTGTTGCTGTTGTATTCTCTCCTCTCCTCTCCTACTGCTTCTCTTCTAGTTCAGTTGTTTCAAATTCGATTTTCCCAGCGTTTTGTATTTATGGCTGCTGCTGCTGCTGCCGCCGCACACATGCACACACACACGGACACACACACACAAGTGTGCGTGTGTGTGTCTCTTTTAGTACTGCACTTGTATACGTGCGCGTGAACTTTCCACTTGCAGAGGCCGCAAAACAACAACAAAAAACTTTACTTTAGAAAAACAAAAAACAAAAAACAAAAACAGACACGAAATACGACGGAGACGCACGAACGAACGCACGCACTCACGCACGACACAGCAGAGCGCAACAACAACAACAATACAGCTCGCGATTCTTTTCCTTCCTTTTTTTATGCAGCAGCAACACTCGTTAGTTTTTGTAGGCGTTCGCTTTAAGCTATTGAGCGTTACACGCGGCGTTTGTTTAGAATTGTGGTTGGCTGGCGCGCGAACACTTGCACTTTTGCAATACACATTAAAAATTTGCTGTATTTACTGCTTAATTCGCATTGCACATCTATTAAACAATGTGAAACAGTCCACCACCAACAAGAAGATAGTGTCTCAGTGTGACCATATGTCAATAGTGTGTAAATACGCTGAGCTGCTTTATAACCAGCTGGCCACGATGAATCAATATATCGATATATTTATCATTGTTTTGGGGTGAAATAGTTCAATTTATGCACACATGCTCACCGTGTACTTTGAATAGGAATAAAAGAAAACACAATAAAAACTAATTTTACTGATTTCCACGGATTGGCAGGTATTTATTTTTGGCTACAATCTATAAAACTATTTTCTGCTGTTATCTCAAGGACATACACATAATCTAGTGTGACCAAAGAAAATACCAAAATTTCATTTGTGATTAAAAAACGTACAGGAAATGGCTGAGTTGGCAACACTGCGAATATCCCACTGTATTGTTTTCAACGAGGACGAGTTCTACGCGAGTGTTGGGTGAAAAAGAAAAGAAAACGAAAAACTAAATATCAAAGAAAAGTTAAGCGACAAACACAGTCAGAGCCGCAGCGAGCGCGGCATTTGATCTGCATTTTTTTCTCAACACGCACAAGTGAACGCGTAGCAGGCAAACATTTCTACAACACGATTTGACCAAATGTGGTAAAAATAGCAAAAAGCAGCAGCAGCCGCAGCCGCCGTCGCCGCCGCTCTATCGACGTCGACGTCGCCGTCGCTGTCGACGGCCCAATAAAAACCCACACAGCAGCAGCAGCAGCAGCAATAATAGTATCAAAAAAGTGGAGCAAATAATTTCAGTTACCAGGCTAAACGTGCAGCGCAACACGCGTGAACAGCTCCAAAAAGTGCAAGTGCAGGCCGCCAAAGACGCACACGCACATACACCCACCTATCCAAGCATATATACATACGCTCATATACACTTACATCCATACACATATATATAAACGACAGAGCGCAATGTCACGACCACGTCCGCGCCTCACACCCATTGGCATTCCGCGTGAGCCGGAACCGGCATTGTAAGTGCATTGGGGGTTATGACATTATGACACTTGTTCGTTTTGCTTTTGCCTATGCTTCTGCGTGTCTGCGCCTGTGTGTGTCTATGCAAAGTTTAGCTAATGTGTGCGAAGAGTACGCAAGATAATCTATGCTTCTTTTTTTTTTGGCATTTTGTTTTCGTGAGTGTGTATGTGTGCGTATGCATGTGAATACTTGCAGATTGAACTGGTTCGATGAACTAGAAAAACCCCACAACTCTGTGTGCTTGATCGAATATTGTATACCCCGGGCAAATTAAAAGTTCAAATATTCAAACAATTTTCTTAAAAGTTCAATTGATATTCAGTTAGCTTAATGTTGTAGTCCCGCTCCAACCAATGCCAATTAGCCGAAGCAAAACGAATAAGCCGCAAATGTCATATAGCCATAGCAATAAGTAGTCCGTTAATACACTGTTAATTATATACTGTTAGCATTTCGCCAACAAAAAATGATACTGTGAACATTTGACTGTTAACCATAAGTATTCTGTTAACATACTGTTAAATTACATGCCGTCCACAGCGTGCCACCTCGTAATCTGGACTCCCGGGCAACCATACAAATTGGCGAACAAACATTTGACATCGATGCGGACAGCTTGGAGAAGATTTGCGATTTGGGCCGCGGTGCCTACGGCATCGTGGAGAAGATGCGACACAGGCAGACGGGCACAGTGCTGGCCGTCAAGCGCATCCCAATGACAGTGAACTTTCGTGAACAGCAACGTCTGATCATGGATCTGGATATTTCGATGCGATCCAGCGATTGCCCCTATACGGTCCATTTCTATGGAGCCATGTATCGCGAGGGCGACGTCTGGATATGCATGGAGGTGATGAACACCAGCTTGGACAAATTCTATCCGAAGGTCTTCAAAAACCAGCTGACCATGGAGGAGACGGTGCTGGGCAAAGTAAGCCATGCCCTATACCCTACTATCTCCATCTCTCTCGCTCTCACTATATACATACTTTTCTCAGATCGCGATGAGCGTGGTTAGCGCCTTGCATTATCTGCATGCCCAGCTGCAGGTCATCCATCGCGATGTGAAGCCATCAAATATATTGATCAATCGAAGCGGCCAGGTGAAAATATGCGATTTCGGCATCTCAGGTAAACACTGTGTTCTCTTTCCATTTCGTCTCACACGATTCATAATTATAGACCGTCGATGAATTAAGATATAAAGCATAGGCTATGGATAGAACACCTCAATTCAGCTCACCCATATTTAGCATTTGTTCTGTTAGGAAACAAATGGAAAAGGAAGTGGAAGTGGAACTAAACTAAGCAGTTAACAGGCTTAAATATCAGCAATTTCTTTGCACTATCTCTAAGCTAAGAAATGAAATGGAAATGGAACAGTGAAAATTAAAGTCCAACTGCTGATTGCCAATTTCATTCCATTTGTTTCAACACATTCGGATTTCCTATGCAAGCCATTATTTAAGAAATCTAATGGAAATAGAACAGCGAAGAGTGAATTGTTTAATTTGGCCTGATAAATTCGAACCGTTTTGTTCCTTATAGCTTCAAGAGCTTCCAGCTTCGCAGAGAGCAATTGACAATTGTCATAGATATAGAAAGAGACGTAGATGTATAACTTAAAGAATCAAATGGAAAAGGAACAGTTAGACGTTATTCCAAGTGCCAGGATTCAAAATTAAATTTAAGGAATCTAACGCCAATCGAACAGTACTAATATATCGATTATCGATTAGCAAAATATCGATACGCAATTTCATACCACTTCATTCGAAACAAGTCTTAATTCCCATTTAATAGACTTCCTTATATAATCGTGCTACTCTTGGCAGGCTATCTGGTCGATTCGGTGGCAAAGACTATAGATGCTGGTTGCAAGCCATATATGGCACCGGAACGTATCGATCCGCAAGGTAATCCAGCCCAATACGATATACGTTCCGATGTCTGGTCGCTGGGCATAAGCATGATCGAAATGGCAACCGGGCAATATCCCTATAACAAATGGCGAACGCCCTTCGAACAGCTGCGTCAGGTGAGAGCCACCACCTGGTGACAGGTGTAGCCAAAGCTAATGTTCTTCTTCTTGTGACGTTGTTTTAGGTAGTTGAGGATGATCCGCCACGACTGCCAGCTGACAAATTCTCCACAGAGTTTGAGGACTTCATAGCGACCTGCTTGAAAAAGGATTATACGGCGAGGCCCAATTACGAGCAGCTGCTGCGGCATAGCTTTATTGTGGAGCATTTACAGCGCAACACGGATATCTCGGAGTTTGTGGCCAGAATATTGGATCTGCCCGATGAACAGGCGTCGCAGTAGAGCGGCTGCAGTAGAAGCTGAATTAGGAGTAGATCGCGCGGAGTCAATCAAGGATCAACATGTCTTCTCTACTCAATGTGAAACTATTCAGAAACAAATTGTAAATTGCCGCCGTCTTCTACATGCATTTTGTGTGTCTGTGTGTGTTTGTGTGAGTGTGCATGTGTGCATGAGTGTCAATTTCTCTCTCTCTCTCACTATGTGTGCAAGTCTCTCTGCATACATGAGTTGTAATCTTCTATATATCTCTCTCTTTCTCTCTGACTATGTTTGTGTGTGTGTGTGTATTTTTTCCTTTTCCTATATCTCGTTTACTTCCTCCTTTTCTATCTGTGTGCGTGTTTGTGTGTGACTGTATGTGTAGCAAGACACTTGCAAATCTTATTAGCTTAAGTACAAAACAAATGAAATCAATTATAAGGCACACACATACACCCACACACACACACACAAATATATATATATATATATATATATATATATATATATATATATATATTTACATATTAAATAAACTGCAAAATTGAAATTTTGACATTTGCAGCGCTCAAAAGATCGAAACGTGAAAATTGAAACAAACAACAAAAAAAACTAATATATAATATATACATTATATATATATATATATATATATGTATATATATATATATATATATATATATATATATATATATTTGCTTATATATATAAAAACGAGAAAAGAAAACCAAACTGTGCCTCAGCCTTGGCAGCCCAGCAGTCCAGTTGCTGTCAAACTGTAAAATGTAAAACTAAATTTAAAAGAAGAAAGAAAAGAAAACAAAACAAACTATTAAAGGCCGTGCAACATGCACCCAGCAACATGCAACACGAAGGAATTCAAACAACGCCAAGCAAAATGTGTAAATTGTTTAACAAATATACGTGAAATAGCTAATTAATGTTGAAAGCAAACAACAATTTGTGTAATTATTTGTTGATTTATATATCTATATAAATATTATTTTTGTTTCTAATAATAATAATAATTAACTTATACGCATATACCTTAATATAAACTCACTGTAAAATGAAGCAAAAACAAATACAATTTATTGAAAGAAATGCTTTATTAATACATACATAATTATGTCTGCCCAAATACTTACACACACACATATGCATCATGTATAATATGTACAAAAAGCAACAGCCAAATTCATTTGTTGTTGTTAATAATATAAAAAGAAATTGCAATAATTCAAGTTAGTTAATTATGATATGCTTGAATTTGGAATCGTGAAATCGAGACACGGCAGTCAATTACGTACACATATACATATACACATACATATACATATACATACGTATACATATATAATTCATTTTAAGCAATAAAATTGAACAGAATAAATTGCAAGCATGTCAAAACAAATGCCTGAAAATCGTTTCCATTCTGGCTTGTTAAGTGCTAAAATAAAATCTATAAAAAACTAACCAAAATCTGTTTAATAAAATTGTTTGTAATTGTGGTTCGATGCTTTTAAATTCAAATACGTTGCACTAAAGACTAATAAATTAAAATGCCCGCCACATAAAACGATCTAAGGAAAATTTATCGATACTTTAAGCTCGTGTGAATTTCCAAATAAAAAGTTTTATTAATCGTTAAGTATCGAACGTGAACTTGTTGATATATCGATATGCTTCAATTATATTATTAAATACCAACAAATATCGGCACTCGATGCATCGTTGCAGGCACAGCTTGTTAAATACCAACAAATACCGGCCAATTGACGATAAGGCACCCGTTGCACGTTCCGTGCGCTCAACTGTTGACTTTTTGCTGAACGCAAGAAATCTGAACTTTTATTTATATTGTTTTTACTTATCGCCTACCGCAAATACGGCCATAAAACAAAGATAATTCGAAGTGCTGATTAAATGCCCAATTGACAACACGAATTGAAAGTGTAAGGAACATACGAATATGAACAGCGGAGCGCGTAATTTGTTGTTGCTCTCATCGTCCCGTCTGCATGGCTATGGCTACTTGGAGCATGCGCGCGCCCAACTGGAGGATCTGTTCAAGGCGTAAGCATAACTAGCTACACTTATCGCTCGCTTATTACACCGTTTCATTGACCTAGTAAGAACGTGAAGACTGTGCTCTTTGTTCCCTATGCACTGCGGGATCATGACAAATATACGGCAACCGTTAGAGCTGCACTGCAGCCATGGGGCTATGCGGTAGAGGGGCTGCACACAAAGTCCGATCCGGGCAGGGCGCTGCGCGAGGCGCAGGCAATTTTCGTGGGCGGCGGCAACACTTTCGTGCTGCTAAAGCAGCTGTACGAACTGCAGCTAATCGAACTGATACGCCAGCTGGTGCTGGAGCAGGGCATCACCTATGTGGGCAGCAGTGCCGGCACCAATGTGGCCACACGCTCCATACACACCACCAACGATATGCCAGTCATGCAGCCGCCCAGCTTTGAGGCACTGGCGCTGGTCCCGTTCAACATCAATCCGCACTACTTGGACGCAGATGTGAACAGCCAGCACAAGGGCGAGACGAGAGACGAACGAATCGAGGAGTTCGTGAGCTACCATGCACGACCCGTGCTCGGACTGCGCGAGGGCACCAGTCTGCGTGTCCAAGGCGATCAGGCGATGCTGCTAGGAGAACGCAATGCCAAGCTCTTCAAATCGTAAATTCCGCAACCGCTATACATGCGTTGCGTTCATAAAAATAGTAGTGCCCCCGACGCAAAATAACAAAAAAGTATCTCAACTCAACTCAACAATAATATATGTTAATCTTAGTTGCTCCAAATTGTTTTCAAAACATTGTGTTTATCACTAAATTTTGTTTCACTCGCACTACTATTTTTGTGAACACAGCTGTTATATCGTTTTGTGCTTCATTAACAACTGTTATACTTACAGCGACGGCAGCACTGTGGAATATGAGCCACAGTCGGATCTTAGCTTCCTGCTGAAGGCCTAGGCATCGTAGCGCAGATACGAGCTGGACATATAGCCATCAATCCAACAAAGATTTTGTTTTACATACATTTATTTGATATATATAACAACTAGTATATAATCGGCATGTTCATAATAGATCTTACACATATTATATTTACATTATGTATCGGCTGTATATATATATTTATATATCATGCTAAAAACTATGACTACACATCAAAAAAATCAGGCAAAAGAATCCTTTTCTTTATTGCCAATGTTAAAAACTATTTACAGACAATTTGCCTTTTGCTAGCCGTATAACAAAGTATGTTGATTGTGTTATAATAAATTAAATACAAAAATCTTTTATATGAAATTATGTAAAAAAAAAATAATAATGCAAAATGCTTTAAAACATATAACTGGCAGGCGCTACTTATTCGAACTCTAAATACGTAGTTGGTATGCTTTTCCTTATGATTGTATAACAGTTGGCACTTGTATAACAGTGACAAAAGCATGAATGTTTTCAATTTAGTTTCAGCGCGTTTCCTGGCCTTGGTATAACAGTCGTTACTATGATTTTTTACATGATTAGAGCAGTATAACAGTTGGCTATATATTGTATAACATGCATATTCTTATGCATTTTATTTCAACTCTCCTAAAGTTGTTTATATAAAACTACTTTTTCTTCGTTTGTATAACAGTATTTTTAGTCGTATAACAATGGCTGTTTTGCTGTATAACTGTTGATCATTATTGAGCTAATTACTGTGTATAATAGTATAATAGGGGTTATTTGTATAGCAGTTTACAATGGTTATTTGTATAACAGTTAACTGGCAATTATTGGCATTTCGACACAGTACCGTTTACATCTGTTTGTATAACAGTTTACAAAATGTTATACAACACTATCGAAATCTTAAAGCTGAAACTAAATAGGGCACGTATAACAGTTGCCACAATGTGGTCTAGTTGGGCAAGATTTGAGCCACAGTCAGTTTGGCTAAGCAGGCACAAATTACGTACAAATTGTTATACACATTCTCCATATACGTCTAGAATAACACTTAGCGTTAGATGTATGCTAAATATAGATAGGAATTTGCAGGACAAGTTACAATTATGTAAGATTAAATTACAAGAGCGGCTAAGGAGGACACGCAAGATGCTGGCAACTGTTATACACAACACGTGTTATAATATATATTGATTGTTATGCTTAGGCAAGCTTAGTTAGTTGGCAGCTACAAGTTTCCTGAACCCCACCCCACCCCACCCCATGCTAGCTCCTGCTCCGATTCCCCGTCTAACCCAACCCTTTGAGCACTAATTGTATAACAGTTCTTGTCTACCATTTTGAGCATTACAAGTTTCAGTTTAAAGCAAGGCATGCACACACACGCACACAAGCACACACAAAAAAAGCAACAAAAATTAACTAAGGCTATGAGCACACACACACACACACACACGCACACACTTGGCAATATATATGTTTAGCAAGGAACTGATGATATTACTATAATATATATATATAAAAGTTAGCATTGGCCAGTCGCTGGGACAGCAGCTACTTTTGCAGAATACTTTTATCCTCGTAGCGGATGATGGCATCGCCGATTTGCTTGCGCGATGCCAAGTGTATGCAGCTGCTGCCCTGCGGGGGCAGCGTGGGCGGCAGTGAGCCGCCCCTGGCCAAATGATTTCGCACATCGAGGCCGAAGCGCAGCTGTGGCTCGACGGCGCGCAATATGTGCACCGTATGCTGTGCGGCGACAAACATGTCCAAAATGTTTTCAATCTTCGTGGCACGCGGCTGGGATGCGGCCAGCAGCAGCTGCTCAATGTCCAGATCGCTGCGCATTATGGGCAGTCCCAACGGATCCAAAAGTTTACGAGCTGCAAGCGAAGACAAGGTCAATAAAGGACACAGAGAGAGAGAGAGAGAGAGATCTGTTGTTACCCTGCACGTAGTCGCGACTGTAGAAGGCAATCACATCCTGATTTTGGCGATCGAAGTAGCCGGTGCTTTGGCTAATGTCACAGGTGTCGCACTCCTTGCAGAAATGCGCCCAGCTGCAGGGATAGAGCTGGAAGCCAATCGGCGCGTACACCTGAAAGCCTTGGATGGTATTCATGCGCACACGGTTTAGGAAATCCGTACGGAAGAGCATGCTGGGCGTGGCCAGCAGCACCAGCGATTCGAGTCCCAGCTTGGGCAGCGCCAGATCGGCGACAGCCAGGCTGAGCAACTGCCTCGGGCCATACATGGAGGCGTGCAGTAGCCAATCATCCGGCTGCAGTGGCTCACTGCTCAGCTGCTCCGGCAGCCGTATGGACACCCAGGCGATGCGTGAGCCATCTGTCTTGTATTTCGACGACAAGTCGAGGGCCAATTTCTTTAAGCTCTTGAAGGGATCTTCGTCGCCCTTGCTGGGCGAGTCGAGGCGATACAGGAAGATCTGCAAGGCAAACACGTTCAGCGGGCACAGCCACAGCCACAGTCATACGCCGATATACTCACCAGCAGCAGGAATGTATTGTCCTGATTGCGCATGCAGACGCGTTCGTACTGCGCCACAAAGTCGAGCGCATCGGGCACCTGGTGCTCGAATGATGGCACCAGTATCGCGATACGTGTACTCTCCGTCACGTAGGGCGATGGCACCACCTCGACGCGACCCAGCGGCTTGACCACCTCGAAGCTTTTGAGCAACAGCCGCCGCTTGTCAACGTCGCTTCCGCTCTCGTACAGATTCAGATGCAGCTGATAGTCCATGCCGCGCGTCGCATCGAACTTGCGGTAGGCGCTGTGCAAGCTCTGGTAGCGCAGCTTCGGATACTTCTGGGCGGCATATTGCAATGCGATCTCCAGGACCTTGGCGAAGTCCAATGCTTCGATGCGACTGAGCGGCGCCACGGCGTGATCGGAGTTCGCATTCGGCAGCAAGGAGTGCGTTTCGTTCAGCAGCTGCCACGTGAGCATGTCGTGACGCGTCTCCGGCGCACTGGGCGGCGGCACGCCCAGCGGCCAACGGATTTCGAGTATCTTATTGGAGATGCTGCCATTGGCAATGCGATACGATTTCTGTTCCAGTGCATAGCCGCGCTGCTGCACCAACTCCAGATGATGCTGGGGAGAGGATAGAAAAGATATTTAACAGACTCGAATTTGGTTTCGTTAAGTTCGTAACAATTGAATTCAGTTTCGATAAGTTCGTGACAATTGAATTCAGTTTCGTTAAGTTGTGCACGAACAGTGTTCTCTGCGAATAGTTAATTTCAGCTTCGTTAAATTTATAATATGCATTATTCTCCTTGTAATTAGTTTCGTTAAGTTTCAGGTAGTGTAATCTCTGATAACAGTCGAATTAAGTTTCGTTAAGTTGTTAACGGTCAGCGTTCTCTCTGTTAGCAATTGAATTCCGTTTCGTTAAGTTAGAAGAGATGGTATTTCCACTGTTGTCTGCTGATTCTTATTTTGTTAAGTGTTCCATCGAAGTTCGTTAAGTTTTGAACTAATTATATTCCCTCTTAACTGTTATTTTCATTAAGTTTTTAGCGTCTAGCATTCTCTTTGCTAACCGTTGACCTAAGTTTGTTTCGTTAAGTTCGTAACGGAAAAAGTTCTTTTTTAACAGTTGTGCTGCTGCTCAAGTTAACAGTGCTATTTTATTTGCATTACATGAGAAATGTTAGCAACTTTCAATATTAACATAAAAGTCCTTTAACAGTCGCTTTCTTTACAGCTCAATGTAAATGATAACAGTCATGCATTTCATAACCACGTGACTGACCTTTGAGTAGTAGGCGTGCAGGCGATAGAAATCCTCCGGTGACTGTACGGGATAAACGGTTGTTGCATTGAGGAATGCTGCCTCCTTGGCCAATATGCTGAGATCCTTATGCTGGCGCGACTTCGTATTCAGGGCATAGCTGTACTGACGCATACCCTGTACAAAAAAAAAAAAAAAAAACAAACAATGAAAGAGAATAAAAAAAATAATTAGTTAGGCGCCAACAAATGCTGCATAAAATTAATTTCTAAGAAAAAGGGCAGAGCAAACAAATAAACGACGACCACAACCCAGACCCGAATCCATGATCCAGTTATGAACATGTGTTCTACAGATAACCAAACAATCAACTTCCTTTATGGCTGCGTCGCTTTAACGATCTCATTAGGTCCAACTAACAGTTGCATTCCAGTGCCCATGCGCGTTCCCTGTTCCCAGTTCAATTCCATTAACATTGCCATTGCCATTGCCAATTCCGTTACTCTATTTGGGGGTTGACGAGAGTCAGTCGCATAATTTAATTAACATTGCGCTGCCAACTGTTGGCGATGGCAAACGCAATTGCAAGCGCGTTAGTTTCCACGAAGCGCATCCAGCTTATTACTGTAAAACGTCACGGCAGCTAAATACCCTATGTATACATATATACATACAAGTACACATGTGCGTATGCTAAGCTCTTTAACTTGTTTAAACTGCAGCAAATGTTAAACATTTTTGATCAAATACGCACGCACACACACATATACATACACACATATCAAATCATTCCACGGTACCTGCCAGCTGCGTATGTAAATAAACCCAAAATCCAAACAAATGAAATTCTAGTGAAAGGCGTGCGTCAAGTTCTTAGCCCTGTTTCACTATATCTTCATAAATACATACATACATATGTATGTACATTAAAGGAAAAGAAGAAGAACTAACATTTTCTTGATAAATTACGTGCGCAAAAACTAATTTTGTGTTATAAATAAACAGCAGCTACTTTAATTAAAACCAATACATACATATGTACATATATTTATGCTAAGTATTGAGAACGCACTTCCACTTACAGCCGTTGCCCACTTTTCTACTCTCCTTACATGCACACAAATGTATGTGTATATACATATACATATACATATACATATATATATTTATATGCTTAACATCATTACGTCCCTCTCACTCTCTCTCCCACTGCTAAATGCCACCCAGAGCAAAAGCAAAGCAACAGTGCTTGTCCAACTTTTTTGGAGAGTGCATTTCCAATTGCAAGCCGTGTCTCCTCAGTTTATTGCCTCTTATTTCGGTTCTTCATCTTCTCCAGCACTTCCCCTTGACATACTCCGTTAAAGAAATTCTTTGCTCTGTTGCTGTTGCTTGGAAATTAAAAAAACCGTCCATCAAGTGCTGCTGCTGCTGTTTGTTGATTGCCTGCCACAAACTCGCAAACAGCTCTAAAATGTTTTTTTCTTTATCAAGATGTATGTAGAAGTGGTTGTTGTTGCTTCAGCTTCTATTTCTTTCCTTTTCTCATTTGTATTCTCCACTTTCCGCATCACATTTCGCTCGGCCGCTGCTCCGTTGAGATGCTCTTTTCAGGGTCACTTTCATGTATCAATGAACTGATTTTTTTCTCTTCTTTTTTTTTTTTGTTTTTATGTTCTTTTCTGAGGTTCTGCTTGCATATGATTGTGTGCGTGTGTGTGCGTGAGTGAGTGTGTGTGTGTGCTCTTTGTGCGTCTTTTTAGTCAACGGCAAATTGTTTAAATAAATAAAACGGCGTGTAGGAAGCAACAAAGATCACACGACAAGCAAACGGCAAATTAACTCGTACACAAACACACACACGCACACAAACATGTAAGCAAAACGTACATGGCAACGTTTGCTTACGCGACTTGTGGTTCATTTGACAGCAGTGCTGCTAAAACTGTTAACAGCTGCTGCAGCAGCTGCTGTTAATTGGTTTTGGCTGTTAAGCTAGTTGCTAATTGAAGTAAATGAACTTTACACTTGTCCCAATACATGTCAAACCGCAAATATATGAAATGTTGAAGGTTTTTAACTCACCTGAAAACTTTCCTGACAGCCAGCTACACGACTCGCATACTTCACACAGCGCCCAATGTTAACGCTATGATCATTCGTAATGCCAATCCGAACACAACGATCCAAATTGTTGCGCATCTTCCGTATGACACTGCTGCTCAGCAAGATGCCCGCCTCCAGGTCACAATAGTTCCGATCACTCACACCCGCCGCACCCGAATCATTCATCGATTCATCGCGGCCGACAGATGCAGCCTTCCCCTCCTTCCCCTCGCCAGCCTCGCCCTGGGCAACGCGTGTCCCGCCCATATACAGATCAAAGGTGATGCTCATATGATAAAGCAGCGCATTCAGCTTCCGTGCATCCACATAGGCATTGTCCGGCACCAGCAGAAAGTAATCGTAGTCATCCAAATAATTGTCCGCTATATACTTGATCACGTAGAACGGACGACGACTCTCCCGCGTGTCCGTAAACCCGACAATGTTCTTCAACTGATAGTTCGTCTTCTCGCTGTCCGCATTGATGAAGAACTTGATCTTGTTCACCAGGTGGGCGGTGGTGCGATTGAATGCCGTGGCATAGCTGTTGACATTCTCCTGCGATGTCATCACACCAATAAAGATCTTCTCACGTATGCCCAGCTCCGAGGAGTAGTAACGAGGCCGCAACACATTTTTTACCTTCAAGAAAGAGAGACCGAGAGAGAGAGAGAGATATTAGATTAGATATTAGAGATATTAGATATTATTTTGAAGTAATGAAAGAAATACATGAGATATTAGCGAAAAGAGACAGATAAAGGGATAGATAGAGAGAGAGACAGAGACATATTAGAGACCTTAAACCTCTTCCATATTCCGTATTCCATCTTCTATATTCTGTTTTCTATCTTTTATCTGCTATCTTCTAGCTTCGATATTCTTCTATCGATCGATCTCTTCCAGGCAGATTCGTTTCGAGCTGGAGCGGCTAGGCGATCGGCGATCGGATCGCGATCTAGCTTACCATTTCGATATTTCGAGCTTCTATCTTCGAGCTCTATCTCTTTTCGCTAGCGAGCGTCTATCGTCTATCTTCTATCTTTTCTATCTACTATCTTCGATCCTTCTATCTTCTATCTTCTAGCTTCTATCTTCTATCTTCGATCTTCTATCTTCTAAGCTTCTATAATCTTCTTCTATCTTCTATATTCTATCTTCTATCTTCTATCTTCTTCTTCTATCTTCTATCCTTCTAATCTTCTAATCTTCGATCTTCTATCTTCTACTCTTCTATCTCTCTATCTTCTATCTTCTATCTTCTATATTCTATCTTCTATCTTCTATCTTCTATCTTCTAGCTTCTATCTTCTACCTTTCCCATCATAATTTGCATCATCATTATCATTATTGTTTCTATTAGTATTGACAATATTATGGTTATAGTAACGATCAATGTTTTGAATGGGTATATCATAAGTAGTTTGTACCCAATACAATAATCTAGTCTGTCTATATGGACTGCACGTTTGGGTACTTGAGAAATCAAGACCACAAAGCCAGGCCAAGTCTAGTGCTGATTAGATGATTATGTTTTATTCATTTAAGCTCTAAAATATATATATATATAATGCTGGAGAATTATATGTTTCCATCAATTTTTGTCTGTGTTTTTATGAAGTATCTAAAGGGTTCAACGTTCTCTATAAAATGTTTATGATTATGTATATGAGTTGTGGTTTTTCCAAGTAACAAATTCTTCGGGTGATAGAGCAAGAGTTCGACTAGCAGATACCCTGTAACTCGATCAAATTTAGGTGGCAGACACATTCCAAATGGGGCCACAGGGTATCTGAATATAATCCACTGAGTGACTATTATAATAATAACAATCGAATTATCGTTAACTACCACGACACTCCATGATATAGAACAATAGAAGATGTCGAAAATATGATATTACGATATTTGATCGAAAGTATTTTTATTGAAATTGTTGCTAAATATGGAATCATAGATGTATATAAGAGCTGAGGATCGGAACTTCTATGGAATGAAATGAAATAACAAGACAAGTGGGACTGCTCGACTAGGAGATACCTCCATCTATAAGGGGAAACTATTCAAAAAGTGACGTTGTCAATATCTGTTCGTAATCTATTATTATTATAATTATATAAATATTAAGTTGTTTGCTCCAGCTCTTAAAAATGCCTAAGAACTTAAGTTTGATATCGGTTTGAATCGATTTCATGCAAAACTAGCAAATGTTATCGATGATTTGCAGCAAAAGCTTGATTCGTGTAAGCTCTACATTTTCTAGTTATTATCGAGACCTATGCCAGGTCATATATATATATATATCATACCTTTTAACACATACCTTTATAACAACATCTATTTAATGATTGTAGAGCATAGAATGTTGGTTTTACTTATTCGAATATATCTGATAATAACTCAACTATCTTATAAAACCTAACCGATAAGAGCGAGAGCGAGAGAGAGAGACTAGCAATAATAGACTTCTAAATATTTATAACTCTAAGCTATCGATCTATCTCTCTGCACATATATATTTATATATATCAAGCAATATATAAGAATAGATAGATAAGTAGATAGGTTTATAATACAGCAATACAACTATTTGTCTGTTCGACAATCTATTGTTAGTTCTATTTATCGATCTTTCTATATATATCTATATCTCTCTGCCTACCCACCTCTATCATTTCTTATATATATCAAATATATATATTTATAATAATATATGTAATAACACTTATATCCCACTGAATTCTATGAGAGTTCTCCGATTGTTCATGACTTCTTCCTTGATGTCAATTCAGTTTTCAGTTTTCAGTGTTGCTGCGCGTTTCTTTGCTTTTGAAGGCCTTTTGTCGGCAGTTGAATGAAATTATATGGCCAATTACAAATATCTTTTAATTGGCCACTGTTTATGGGCTCGTAAAGCGCTGGCCTTCGCTCGCCTTCGCTGCCATATGGCGGGTATTATAATTTTTCTGAAGAAGTGAAGATATCTCCAGGCCATTCACATAAATTCCAGTTCGTAAATGAAAACTTTTCATTGTCCGTATTTTTTTCTTCTGTTGGTTTGGGCTTAGCTTTATGAATTCTAAGACTGATCAACTGATCAAGCTTATATGTTTAGAATAAAGCTTCTTTTTAACTTATTTATTTTATTCTAGCTATGCATATATATCGATCTATCATGTCTACATTTATCTAGCTCTTCTATATAATTTCGTTTACACTTTTTTCGAAATTCCAAGGGTATTCCATTGCCTTTATCGTTTCTTATCAATTGCTTTGGCAATTGATTTTCCCTCCGCGTTTCTTTTATGGCTCGCTTATCGAGGCTGACGTCAGGTAAATCTGTTTGACCCTTGAACTATGTGCACTGGCACTTAGTTTGTGGCTACACACACAGGCGCACGCCCTTAGACACTCACTGAAAAGGGGCGTTCTATGGCGATGGGCGTGGCGCATAAACAGCTTCGTATTGCATCATAGCGAGCAGCAATTAGCGCTAATAACAATTACAAATACAGGTTGTCTAGTTAGTTAGTTGCAGTAAGTCCAGCATGAACGACTGCAAGATACGCTGTAAGAAATAAAACAACATTTCACTGCTCGACTGACATATACCCTGCATATGTATTGATTTGTAATTAATAGGTCATATGTTCGGCTAGCGAATACCCTATATACATATATATTTATATTTATATGTGTTTCTCTAATCGAATCATCAATATCTATGTGCTTCGGCTCTAAGCCCCACCTCAATCAATATGCCCCATTTCTTCATAGCTCGTTTTTATTGCTTTGCCCCGCCTGCAATTAACAAATCAATTCAATCAATTTAAGTTTTATATATTTCTAATTAACGTTTCGTAATTGTCAGCTACGTAGCTGGAGTGTCATAGCAGCGAGCTAACGAGCCAACCCCCTGGCGACGGCGCTGTGGCCGCATGCAAAAGCAAGATGACCTTGTGCTTAAATTACGGCACCTTATGCCACAGGCAGAGGCAGAGGCACAGCCGCAGTCAGAGCAATATCTCTGTACGCAATTAATTGTGTAAATATCTAAGCACAACTAACGCACACACACACGTATAGCTGCGCAACAGGTAAACATTTGCCTAGCTGCCACACAGACTAGACCCCTCTGCAGCACTTTCTTATAGTTTTCGTTTTTTGTGGGGTCTATGAAAATACTTTCCAAAATATATATCTATATATATATATTTATTTGTGTGCAAATTCCATAAAGTTCACAAAATGAAAATTGAAAATCGCATAAGCAAACATTGAGTGTTTGTTCGATTCGAATTTACTAATTCGGCTGCGCGATTCATCCAAAAATTGCTTTGTCCAGTCAATTTATTTGCTTTTGCCATTTAACGATTTCATCTGAATTATGAATGACTAATGGAACGAAGAAAACGTAGCGAAAACAGCCAAACAGTTGCAGACTTTGGCATTCGGAATCAACAACAAAACTCATTTCGACCAAGGTGTGGTTCCCTATGCCATTAGCGCACTAAAATTTCACTTTAGACTTTAGAATCGGCATTGTGCACGTTGCTATCCGGGAATATTATTGATTTCTAGACTCTACGCTACATCATCTATATTCCAAATTTAATTTTTTTTGCACATTATATGTTCCATTGTATATGTTCCATGTTTCTTCACTCCACATTTTATGTTCTATGTTTTACATATTCTATATTTTATTTTCTATTATCCGTGTTTTAGATTCCATATTCTACGTTCTATGTTTTAGAATAGTTGTTCTACGTTTATTCCATTATTCTATGTTTTATATTTTACATTTTATATTTTAAATTCTATTTTCTATGTTTTATATTCTATGTTTTCTATGTTATCTTCTATATTTTCCAAATATATATTCAAAATTCTATATACTTTTTATATTTATTTATATTTTATATTTTATATTTTATATTTTATATTATATATTTTATATTTTATATTATATATTAATATTTATATTTTATATGTTATATTTATATTTTATATTTTATATTTATATTGGATATTTATATTTATTTTATATTTTATTTTTATATTTTATATTTATATATTTATATTTCATCATTTATATTTTCTATTTTAATATTTTATATTTTATCTTTATTATTTCTAATTTTATATTGTTATTTTAATATTTTACTATTTATATTTTATCTGTTATATTTTATATTTATCTTTTCTATTTTAGTATTTTATCATTTATATTTATATTGATATTTATCACTCTTTCTCTTTCTCTTTTATCTTTATCTTTTTCTATTTTTCTCTTTTCTCTTTTCTCTTTAATTTTCATCTCGCTTTTCTCTTTCTCTTTTCTTTTCATATTTTCTCTTTATATTTTATCTTTTCTCTTTTATATTTCTATTTTCCTATTTCGCTTTCCTCTTTTATCTTTTCTACTTTATATTTTCTCTGTGCTCTTTTCTCTTTCTCTGTGTTACTCTTTTCTCTTATATATTTTATATTTTATTTTTTACATTTAACTTTCTGTAATATAGATTTAACTGCTTGTCAACGTTGACAGCAGCATGACTGCGCTTTCTGATTCAGTTGGGAATTATCAGAGAATTGCTAAATGAATCAGCTGAGTTCACTGCATTTGTCGCACTGTCAAAGTGCTAGTTGGCTTTCGGGAGCACGTGGCTGTTAAAAATGCGCAGCCTATTTGAACATTCAACAATCGATAAGCGTTAGACATGATAACCGATAATAGCACAGCCTTGTGACGTAACAGCAGCCAACGGAAGTAAAAACAACAAACTGTTCTCATGTCTCTGATTATTTCTGACTACTCGTTTAACAGGTGAAAAGAGCATATTGGTTGTCACGTGGCAAAGCCCACATCTACCCACCGCTTTAAGGCCAGAGTCCACCGTGGCGCAGTCAATGCCGTTAAGCCATGTCTTTCTCGTATCGAAATTTGTCAAATTTAATACTTTTGATATCATCTACAAGTCCAGTATAAGTTTATGTGATAAATCGGACTAGCTTCTGCAGAAGTAGATCTATAGGTTATATGATCGCAATCAGCTCTCTCTGGGCGAGTATTATGCCCACGCTGATGCCCGATGGCTCAACAGACGTTATCAACGAAGCTTGCCTTATCGCCAAGGCGAACAACGTCACCAATTACAAAAAATAATAATATAAAAATGTGGAATGAATGAAAAAATCAAAGAAATATTTCAATTTCCATGGCAGAAAACTTAATTAGACTTAGATATCGAATTATGTCTATGCGAGCTGTTGGCCTCCATTGCCCTCCGCCCTCCTGCGCCCTTCGTTTTCAACGCACCATTTACAATCGACAATCTACGATTCAGTTGCAGCTGGTAGCCAAGTAGAGTGATACTCGCCCCTGACAATGTCAACGGGTATATCGGTTGTTAGCTTGCCCAGTGACTATCGATAGCCATATGTTGCGCAGTCTATGTTGCTATGCCTATGACAAGCACTTGCCATACTCTCCACAGCCATTGGATCTTTACGTTGGGTATCTCAATTATCTGCAGTCGTATTTCCAGAACAAATGTCTTGGGTCACTTTTTGTCTGTTCTACAGATTGATTTTACAATATATATATATATTATTATCAATCTATCTATCGATATATCTATATATATATATATTCGATATATCTTTATACATATATTAATCGACATACCTATATATACATATTTATCGATGTATCTATTTATCGATATATCTATCTATCTATTTATCGATACATATATATATCTCTTTATCGATGCATATAATATATATGTATCGATATATCTATCTATCTATCTACATACATTTATATAGATATCTGTTGCTATCTATGAATATACCTATATATTGATATATCTATATATTTATCGATATATACATTTATATATATTGCTATATACATCTAGTTATCTATATGTCTGCATATCTAACTATCGATATATCTATCTATCTATCGATATATACATTTATATATTTATCGATATATACATTTATATATATTGCTATATACATCTATCTATCAATATATCTACATATTTATCTATCGATAAATCTATATATTTATCGACATATACATTTATATATTTATCGATATATATAAATATAAATTTCTATTATTTATCGATATATACATTTATATATATTGCTCTATACATATATCTATCAATATATCTACATATCTAACTATCGACATATCTATCTATATGAAGACAATTGATCAGCTCTGAAAAGTTCTTATCAATTAGAGCACAATGATGAGCGTGTATTATGTAGTCAGTCATGCTCGATAACAACGTGCTTGTGACTCAGTCCAATTATGAGTTTAATATGACAAACTACATATATATATATATATGTATATATAAATATATATATATATATATATATCTAAATATAGATCTATATATATATATATATATTTACAGTATGGTCTGGTTATATGGCTTTAGGGTCCGGGGTACGATTTCTGTCCGCCTGCTCGGCATTGGGTGTAATAAATAAATGTTAAGATTACTTTTGTCACATTTACTACAAACACAGATATACTTATACCTATATCTACATATATATATATATATATATATATATATAGATATATATTTCGTATTTGTTTGCTTTGCGTATTGATTCATGCAGATGCAATTTCAATATTTGATTTGCTTTGAGCTTAATTTGTTTGTAATGAGATCTTCGGGTCGTGAATAACATTTGATGAGACTGAAATGCAATTTGTTTTCCCTCTGCGACTCATTCATAAAGCGAGCAATTGACGCTCCGTCAAATTGTAATTAAGCATTTGTCCTTTCAAATTGGCCAATGGATTTCAGCTATTCGAATGAATCATTCATCTCTGCATTAGCATATATTTGAGCTCTTTGAATGAAATGAATATATTCATTTGTAAGTGCTGCACTCATTCAGCTTAAGCTCTTCAGCATTCACTATTCATTCAGTTGAATTACTTGAATTAAATGAATACATTTAGCTTTTTATACTGTATGCAAATTTATTCACTTTAAAGTGTGAATCAAATTAATATTTTTTTTTATTTTTATGCACTATTCATTTAATTTAACTGAAACATATGAATGTATTCACTTATCCACACTTTCTTCAGCTTAAAGCTGCTCGAATCAAATGCTTGTATTCACTTAAAGATTGCATTATTCAGTATTCATTCGCTATTGGGGCAGCATTTCCAACTGGCAGCCGTATTCGAATCATTCAGCTTAAGCCTAACTCCCTGAGCTAATCAAATACTCAAATAAATGAATCAAGTTAGGCGACGACACTCAAATGTTTCAAGTGATTCGCATATGAATATGATGAGTGCTGATGATCTGAAATAGCTCTATGTCCATCTGGCATATAAGCCAGTTATATAGACATATATATGGATCTATATATAGTGCATGGATCTGCCTCAATCTCAGCTCAGTTTCAATCGGGCACAGCGATCCAAGTGGGCAAATGTGAATTGCATTGGATTTGACAAATCTTAATTGAAAGAAGTGCGCAGGCGGTGCTAGAATTGTTACAGATCAGCTAGATGAGATGATATTTGTTGTTGTTGTTGCTGTTGTTGTTGTTGCTGAGTCTAGCTGTAAATGCTGGCATCGCTGGGTCGACGCTGTCTCGCGCTTATGACAATTAATTGAGCGCGTTATTGTGCACTATATAGATGCAAATACACACAACACACTCATCCACACACGCACACACACACATATACACACACACATTGCATATATATATATATATATATGTTCTAAAATATGTCTAGGTATATGTTATATGGCAGCATGAGAGCGCCTTAAGCCGGAAATGCGACGCGCTTTTCAATTAAGGCAAATAACAAGAGTACCCTAAGCGGGCTTGCCCGACTAGCAGTTACCCTGTCAGTTCAGTTTTCAATAGCTCAGTTCAGCTTACATCCAAATTTCAATAACTCGCTCTAAATAAAGCCTAATATAACGAAAGTTATGCGAATTATAGAGATATACAAGGCGATTCCTTATATATAATGTATATTTTAGCTCTTTAGCTTTTAAAGAATTCGAACAACGATCCATTCTGGGGCAACAACTGACTTGAATGGAGCTGCCGTTGTTTCCGTCTCAGATCACAGAACTCCGATTTTTAGAGATCTTCTTTAAGCTTACCATACGAATTTCAGATATAAAACACGTCAAAGGGCTACAGTAGGAAGTGCTCGACTAGCAGATACCTTGCAGAGCTGCTATTTCAAGCGTTCTACGCTTAGTTTCTATGAATTGTGGAAGTTTCTTAATAAATCGAAATGTTATCGATAACCAGTATACGAGTTGAGTTATCGAGAGGTGAAATAAATTTGTAGTTGTTACGAACTAGGCTACATCGACTCACCTCGTCGCCCTGCCGCCTTCAGAGCATAAGCTCGAAACGACTTTCATGATTTCGATTCAGATTCAGTTATCAGAGCTATAAGAACTAGTTAGATGCTTCGACAACCTCTCTCTAGCTGCATTAAATATTAAATTGCTCTACAGATGCGTTAGCTAACGATCTACTGTGATTGGCGACTGTCGTCAATCAGCTGATCGCGTTTGTGACTAGTTGAACTCGCCGCCTAGCCGAATATATGTGTGCCAGAGCCCTGGGGCTGCTCTCATTGATAAGTGATATTTTTTGTATTATTATTATTTATAGACATATACTGGGCTACCGGGACTATTGCCATTGAACTGATACAAAAGCAAACAAAGAAGCAGTAACAGAACGAGAGATATAAGAGCTCTCAATTTTCGCGCTTCTTGGCCTGATGCATGCCCGCCGAGATGAGATACTTGTCGAACAGATAGTCCCCAGTATCGCTCTTGGCACGCTCCAATTGGCGTATGAAGTCGGCCAATATCTTCTGGCCGTCGACCTGCTCCTGCAGAAAGTTGGCCTCAATGAAATCGCACAGGTTCGGATCGTTCTCCTTGCTGGCCAGCGCATGCACATCCAGCAGATGCTGATTCACCTCCAATTCCAATTCTAGCGCATGCTTCAGAGCATCCATCGCATCCCTGAACTCGCCCACCGGCTCGGGCACCGTTCCCAAACGTATTAAGCCGCCGCGCTTATTCATATACTTCATGATCAGCTCGGCATGATCGCGCTCCTCCAGGCTGGCTTTCAGAAAGAAGCCATGTATGCCCGGCGAGCTGACGTCTGCTCGATCGAAATGATAGGCCTGCGATGTGACTGGATTATTATCTGTTTAGATATACTCAACGATCTATATACTCTATATAACTAACTTTATCCAGACTGTAGCATTGCCTGTGTCTATATTCATGACTCTACCCATTCTATCTATATATCTATATCAATAACCTAGCTTCTCATCCAGTAAGTAGCATCATCTGCTGTCCTACTTATGTTTTTACGCGCCTCTATCTGATCATTCAGTTCCTCTATAAGCTCTACGTCGTATGTACCATTTGTCCAGCTATCTATATATAGCAATCTGTCTTATATCTATATCTTAGCTTCACCTATCTATGTGTATATATCTCATATAAACTCATCTTTATCTATGACATCATCTCATATATTCAGATTCAACTATCATTTTTATGCATATCTTAACTTAACCCATCTAGCTGCCTATCTATATCTACCTCAGCCAATATAAGGCTACATCTAGAATATTTTGCTGACTTTTTTATGTCTTTCTCTCCATCTCCTTATCTCCCTAAGTCTCTATCTATCTATCCATATATCTCTATCCATATCTATATATTTATCTACCAATATCTGTCTATCTATTCATATATATCTCTCTACCTCTCTCTCTATCTCTAAATCTATTTATCTCGCTATCGCTCTCTATCTGTATCTGCTTCTATATCTACATCTAAACCGAAAAAGCTTAGCATATCTTGTACACATCTATATAGCTCTAACTGTTTATCCATCCATCTCTATTTATAGCACTATCTCGCCTATATACCTCTAACTTTCCATCTCATCCCATGTCTATCTCTAGCATTATCTACATCTATATAGCTCGGTCTATCCACCCAGCTCTATCTCTATAACACTTTCTACTTCTATATATAGCTCTACCGATCTCTCCATCTGTTTTGTACTCCTACCATCGCCAAATATTGATGGCAGGCCTTCAGCTCCATATTGATCTGGTCATTCAATTTGTCTTCGCAGCTTTTGGAAAAATTTTGTCGCATTATCATGCAATATCGCCGCAGCATCGTGGCACATCTCGTCGCCATATCTGTATGGGTCACAACTCTTTCGATACGCGGCAAAAAACCCAAAACTAAATAATTCCAAGATCTAAACCGAAATTTTATGCAAATAATCTTTTTTTTTTTTTTTTAATTTCTGATTTTTTTCAACTGAATTTTGGCTGACAAGCAACTGGACTGCTTAACTATTTCGAACTCGTTGAGAATAGAACTAGAGGAGTTATATAGCGAAAGGTCTGTATAAGACTATAAGAACTAACGGCAAGCATAGAGAAGAATGTGTTATATATAGCGCTTGCATAAGGCGCAGCATGGCAGAACAGAGTCCATTTTTTGTTTATATCTCGAAAATTATGAAAGCAAAATACATAAAATATGCTTAAAAGTTTACTTTATACACTAAATAATATCAAGAATATGTTTTTCTTAAAAATATCAAAAACAATTTGAAATGGAAGAGCTTTTGCATGAAATGTTCCTAAGAATTTGACATGTTATTTGCCAAGTTCTCATAGGAAATCAAAATCTAAATTGATAATAGCTAAAGACTTAAGATATTGGTTATAGGAAAAAGATGGAAAATTATTTTATACTGTATACACTTATCGTCATATAAATTAGGAAGAGTTTTTTAACAACTTCTCAATTTGATCCTTGAGCTTCTCTGAAGATAGAGCTATGAAAACATAGCCTATATAAAGCGAACTGTTTCTATATAGTATCTTAACTATATCTCTATTCCAGTTCTCGTGTTTCAAGCAAAACTAAACTACAAATTGCAATCATACGAACGATTCATTTGGTTGAGGCATGTTCGCTGGGTCACAGGTTCAAAGTGCGCATGTGATTTCACTTCTTCTCTTTTTTTTTTTGTTTTGTTTTTCGTGTCAATGGAGCACTTAGGCAAAGCACACACGCACACACGCACACACAGAGGCAGTCCATGCTATATGTTTGCTTTGGCAACAACAACAAACAGACATGATGTTAAGTAAACTCGAGTTATTGTCATTTACTTGTATTAAGTGAATGGAAAACGACTTTTTGCTCGAGCTTTTTCTTGAATACCCTGCAGACAAGTGTAAATTATTGAATGGGGTTTATACATATATGAGTTTATGTCATATAAAGCTGAATATTGCAATTGAGCATATATTAAAGATCATTCCGATAGAAACATTGATTATATTAAAGATCTTTAACGGTTCCTAAAGAACTATTGATAGTATATTAAAGATTCTTATTTCTATAGAGCCATAGATTGTATATTATAGCTCTTTAGTCCCATAGAACCATTTACTATATACTAAAGATCTTTAACAGTAGTCGACATGATTTAGCTTTGAGCGTTCTTTGATAGATCTATAAGAACTAGAGAGTATGCAAGTTAGGTACGTTTCGAGAAATTGTGAAATCGATGCGAAAGTTCAGATATAGATAGTTATAGTATTAGTATTGCCAACTCAACAAAAATCAAATAAAATGTTAACTCTATATGGAATATAATTTGCTTAATCTAAGTAGAGTTAGGGTATCTGCTAGTGGTGCAAGTTTCACTTTGTTTTTCTCTTCTTTTGCCTTATGGGAACGAGTTTCGAATATTATCTTTCGCTCGTGTCATATCCACTAAGTAACTTACGCACATTAAACAAAAAATAATATTATTAATAAGCGCACAGAGAGGGAAAGGAAGAGAGAGAGAGAGCGAAAAAAAAACATTATTTCGGGGCACATAAAGCGCAAATCATCGTTAAAAATCACACCAAAAGAAGAGCTCAAGATTGACTAAGCTAACACTAAACTAGTTCCGTGTTATACAACACTGCATATATATATATAAAAGGGAAACGGCAAAAAGTTCGTTCCATTCCATTGTAACAGCTAATATAGTGTTTTTTTTACAGCATAAATTAAATAAGTTCTGGCTATAAATAACGGAGTTTACGGGTTAAAAATGGAAACTTGAACTTTAGTTTGTTTTTTTTTTTTTGTAAGTAAAATAATTGAGCTATGTTTTGCTATTACCATGATGGATCACATGTTCGGCATATATTATATTCATTTATAAACAAATTGTATAAGGCAATATATCTATAGATTATATCATTTGGTCTTTATTGTTTATGATCTTTAAGAAAGGTGCGAGAAATATTTTTGGCCAGTTCATAAATTATCGCTGATTGATTCCCCAAAAATATATTAGTTTTTTCTCTCTTTTTTTATCAAGTTTTTTTCACATCGATCGCTTAATTAAAACGCAAACGTTTGCATTTTTAACTAAATATAAATATATATGTATGGCATATGAATGGCTGGCAAAGACATAGCAGCACCATAAATATCTTGTACATTTTTTAAAATTGAAATTAATGAAATTTTTCAAGCAAATAGCTAACTTTTAAAATTACTCCAATTACAATTCCAATTCAAACTGATTTCACACTCACTTCAATTGGTATGTGCAGCTCAATGCTAGTCCAATTACATTTCCAAATCCCTGCATACGAATATGCATATAAACGGAACATCCAATTAGAATGAATAGTATCATGCCATATTATTCAAATTCCAGTTCGAATTCCCTTTGCTCACATGTAAACTAACATAACTTCTAATGGAAACATACAGTGCCATGCTATACCAACTCCAATTCCAATTACTTTCAAACTCAATTAGTATTGGTCACTTCATGTTAAAATGCTATATTAACATAGTAACAACATTTGATTTCAACGCGAGCATTAAACAAAAGTTGAAATCGATTTTCATTTGGTTATTTATTGTTTTTTTTTTTGTTGCTCGTATTTAATTCAATAAATATTGCTGTGTTCGATTTACATACATACATGTGTATATACATAAATTGGCAACTGTATGTGCTGAACATATATGTAGCTACATTGTATGTTTGTATGTATGCATGTTGATATGGCATGATGCACGTATCAGCTATCGGTTATTTACTTGGCTCTGGTTTATAAGTGAAATGCGTTTATTTTCCTAAATGTAATTTATGCGCGCGCCAGTGGAATTTTTGTCGATCGCATGTTCTTTTTGAATTTTTTTTTTAAATGTTGCTGATCAAATTTTTATGCAAACAATGCAGAAATTTGCACCCATTATAATTACCAAAATATAACTGTTATCGTGTAAAATTTCAGTAAGACAGATGAAGAGTGTGCGCATTGCATTACCAGTGCAATATCCATTAAGCCGGCAAAGTGAACATCAAACTGTTACTGCAACTACACACACACCGGGTGTTAATTGTCGAGAAATGTTTTTTCTTCCCTTTTTCATTCTAAAATTAAACTGAGCGGCTGCAAAGTGGTTGCTGACTTCTTGGACTTGTTGATCTCGTCTTCTTCACACAGCGAATGCCGCATAGAGCAAAGGCGGATGATAACGGCAATTGAACCCCGAAATAATGAAGTGACGTCTGCGACGTATACACATACATATGTTTATACACTTATAAGCATATGTGTGCATACACATGTATGTGCATGTGTGCATATGCCTGCCCGAAATGAGGTGGTAGGCGAATTACGAAAGCGAATGCGATAAGCAAGAAGGTCAATAAATTGCTTGCCATGTGCACAAATACGAGCAAACAACCAAACACGCACGCACACTAAAACGCGCGCGCATATGCATATACATAGGACTAGAGATGGACACGTGTTTTATTTTCCAACAGGCAGAATTCCAGACTTTTAAATGCAAGAACAGCTTCAAGTACAGCAAAGCTTTCAGATTTAAATTATATTGTTAGAGATAATATATGATTCTCATTAAATACTTTGAATATTTGTTAATTAAGTTTTTTTACGTGCTTAGTAATATGTTCGATTCGTGCTCAAGTCACGAAAGAAAGCACGACACGTGCTCAGTTCTGGGTAGGACTCGAATGGCTTTCTTTACTTGCCACGCTTTGATTGGCGCGTGTACCACGTGCAGAAACACTTCATATTAAGAGGAGAGAGTGACAGAGAGGGAGATAGAGCGTGAGAATATGGAGCGCAAGCGAGCGAAGAAGAATAAAGGATTGATCTTAATGATATTTTTGTTTGAGACTTACCGGCTTTTTGGCCTCCAGCGGCTTATTGATCAAGTTTAAATGTGGCTCAAAGTCCTGGCCAAAGCGTTCGATGAGCAAATTTTCGGCAACCTCCTGCGGACATTCCTCTTGCTGCACCAGCTCCCAAATGTCCTGCGGTATATAACAGCTGAGCACCAGGCCCAACAGCAGCCCGATCACAAAATAATGATTGCGACTCAACGCGGACGGTCTACGCATCTTTCAGGCGTATCGCAAATTGAATTCACACATACATACATACATGCATATGTACATATAGGATGCTGATCCACAATGGCACTGTTGTCATGTGTTCATCGTGCTGTTGTTGGTGTTGTTGTTATACGCACAATTGCTTCTCCTGCTCTTGTTTCGTTTCGATTGATTTGGTTTGCTTTCTTTTGCGTTCGTTTTTTTTGTTTTTGGCGGAAGCGATAAGCACAGAACTCAAACAAGTGCGCTGACTATGCCGGCTAATTTTGGCATTAGTTGTGTGTTGTTGTCGTTGTTATAGTTGGACGCACTTGTGTTTCGTTGCTGTCGCTGTTGTTACTATAGCCGTTGGTTGGCGCACTTTTAAACCAAATTCACAGGTATACAAGCCATCATTACATATATACACACTTAACACCAGGCACTACACACATTGATTCGTATCGAGACGTTATTGGTACGAAATGCTTTTGAAAAAAAAAAGAAGTTGAACAAGCGCAAACAAGCGCCGCCTGGCCGCCGCACACCGCGTAATGTAAAAAAATGGGATCTTTCTATCTCCAGTCGTTTTGCACATTTAGCAGCGACTCGATTGCTGTTAGCTTACTGTTACAATTACCTGCTAACTACGGCCGCTCGAGTAAAGCCCTAGCATTTGCTAACTGGCTGTTCTGTTAAGGTGATCTGTTTTAAATTGGTATGCTGCGCACAGCTGATGGAAGTCAGGCTAAATATGCTCACAGATAATTTGAAATTTAACCGTATGTCAACTAGGCCTAACAATTTAAATACCAATTAATAATTTAAACATCAATTAACAATTGAGCATGTATTTATCTGTATTTATTCTGATAATGAAGGAAAATATAACTCGTGTTAATAATAAAACACGCAGCGTACTTGCCTAATCGCTTTAACATAGCCGCGTATGTTAACATTGTGCGCATTTTTGCGTTAACATCACTGTTGTCACCTTGCGTTGCTGTTGGCTCAATTTTGCGCTATTAAGTTTTCTTTGCGTTTGAGTTTGCATTGTTGACATTGCCAAAAACGAAAAGAAAATTAAAAAAATTAATAAACTGGCCGACATGGCTGTGGTTGTGCTGGATAATGGCGCGTACACAGCCAAAGTGGGACTCGCCACGCAGGACGAGCCCCAGGTGGTGCCCAATTGTATAATGAAGGCAAAAAGCGAGAGGCGTCGCGCATTTGTGGGCAACCAAATCGACGAATGTCGCGACACCTCTGCCCTGTTTTACATCCTAGCCTTTCAGCGTGGCTATTTACTTAATTGGGACACCCAGAAAACAGTGTGGGACTATATATTCAGCAAGGATGGCATTGGCTGTACACTGGAGCATCGCAACATTGTCATCACCGAACCGCAAATGAATTTCCAGAGCGTTCAGGAAGCAATGCTCGAGATGCTCTTCGAAGAATATCGTGTTGCTGGGATGTACAAAACAACAGCTGCGGATTTGGCTGCATTTAACTACGTAGCAGACAGCGAAGAGCGGACCACAATGCAAACGCTCAATTGCATCATCATCGATGTTGGATACAGCTTCACGCATATTGTGCCTTTTGTGCTGGGTCGACGTGTCCTGGAGGCAATTCGACGTATTGATGTTGGTGGCAAAGCGTTAACGAATCATCTCAAAGAGCTCATCTCGTATCGTCATCTGAATGTTATGGATGAGAGCCATGTGGTGAATCAGATCAAAGAGGATGTTTGCTTTGTGGCCGAAGATTTCAAGGATGCGATGACCGTGCATCAGAGCGAGAAACGTCGCAAGGAAGTTGCCGTCGAATATGTTCTGCCCGATTTTACGACCGTAAAACGTGGCTACATTCGTGTGCCTGGCCACCCACGTGTCGATGAGGATCAACAGCAAATGGTGCCGCTCTGCAATGAGCGTTTCACTGTTCCGGAGCTGCTCTTCAATCCCTCAGACATCGGCATCACACAAGTGGGCATACCGGAAGCTGTGGCTGACGCCCTACGTGCGTGTCCCTGGCAGGCCCATCGCGAACTCTTACTCAACATTCTCATTGTGGGTGGCAGTGCGCAATTTCCTGGCTTCTTGCCACGCCTCAAACGGGATTTGCGCGCTCTCGTCCCAGACGACTTGGAGGTCTCACTCATTTGTCCAGAGGATCCAGTGCGCTATGCTTGGTATGGAGGACGCGAAGTGGCCACAAGTCCAAATTTTGATGAATTCATCTATACGCGGGATGATTATGAAGAATTTGGCATTCATGGACTGCAGCATCGTTAATCATTATGCAATACCCACCTCCCATTGATTAGGTTTAAAGCAATTAATTGTACAGCTCAATAAGTGTATCTCGTTCTTCTGCATGTGTGTGTGTGCCATGAAATGAATGTATTATATATATAGGTCCCTGTATGCATCATGTTTAATATACATACATATATAATACCAACAATGTTAGTTTTTGTCCAGGGGCTTCGACGCCCATCCCCCACAAATTTTCCCGGTGCGCTCTCAACAAGCAACGACAGCTGACTGCCTTAAGGCCTCGTGTGATCGAGCGGGATGTACGCTGTTTGCCTAATATACCGTTCTTTTTTGTTTTCTTGCTCTCGCTGCTCTCTCAAATGCATGCATGTATGTGTATATGCATACGTATGTATGCACACGCAGCAGGATTTTTGCTCTTCTATGCGGAAAGTATTGCAATATTGTTAAAGAGTTTGCCACGCTTATTTCTTTTGGCGACATAGTGCTTTTGGAAAGAGTAACAAGATGTAACTTTAAAATTCATAATTAGAAGATCAGCTTGCACGTTCACACACATAAGCAGCCAGACGCTCCTACATGCATGTATATTGACATTTATGTGACTGTGTTCGTAAGTCTAGTTGCCTTGAATAAAAAATATACAAAATTGGATTACTTTCGAATGCTAATTGAGAGGTAGAAAGAGAGAGAGAGAGAGGGAGACTATTATACTATTCAGCTGCATAGTTAAGGTCATTAAAATTGTCAGTAGCATTTCGTTTGCTTTTTTTTTAATTTTATATTTGAGCTACATACATGCTATGTACATACGAATATGTTGTTTTAATGTATAATCTAAAAACAATGTCCGTTTTTAATGGTTACAACTAAATTTTCGTAGCTACAGAAAACAAACTTAAGCATATTTGCAACAATTTCTCGCTTGCGTATTAAGCTGCAACAATATTTGAGTGTGGCAGCTTAAATATATTGCAGACGATTGCTATTTGAATTAACAACAAGCTCTAAACTCTACATAAACTTAGATAATTTAGGTTTTTTGCGAGGCGGGTTGCGATTCCGTAGTTAGAGAAAAAAATGAGTTCGAAACGCTTTACATGCTAAACGATTCGCCGCAGCCACACGTGCCCTTAATATTTGGATTATTGAAGACGAATTCGCTGGAGAGCTTCGATTCGACAAAGTCCATTTCGGTACCTGTAACAAAAATAAAAAAAACATTTGCATTACATCTGTTAAATTGATTATATAATGTAGTTGACTTACCAAGCAGAGAGAGTTGAGCCTTCTTATCAATAAAGACCTTAACGCCATCCTGTACAACTTCCTCATCTAGTTTATCTGTATGAAAAATCAATTCGAGTTAGTCATATGACATGTATAGAAAATAATTATTATTAACAACCTTTGGTGCTAGCATAATCGAGGGTATAGGATAGGCCATTGCAGCCTCGTTGTCGCACGCCAACCTTGAGGCCGATCTGTGTAGGGAAATGAATGGAAAACATGTTTATATTGGCAATTGAAAATATGACTTATTGACTTACCACCTCTGGCTTGTCTTGCAGTAGCGATTTGATGCGATTCACTGCAGCGGGCGTCTGTTAAAATTGACATCACAACAAAAAAATAAACAAATATTGATAAGCGCAATTCCGACTGTTACTTCATCAGTTTTGTATTTCATCAGCACTTACCAGCGTTAATGCGGCACGCGTTGGTATTAATTTGCGTCCCTTAACAGCTCGAACCGTTGCCGTTGCCACAACACGTGTTGCCATTTTTGTTCTAGATTTATATAATTTGTTTTTTTTTTTTTTTTTTTTGTGCTTACAATTTCAACAATTTCAGTGCTTTACGAAGAGTGTTAATAAATTCTAGAAACTATGTTTTCTTTAGTGTTGTCAAACATCAAGCGAACTATCGAACGATGACCGTTACACGAGTATCGGTTTGTGTGTGGCTGCATTTCGTTACAAATTTTTAAATATGTTCAATTGTTTTTGTTTAAGCTGCCAAAGGTAAAGACTCGAGGATGGTAACATTTTTGTTTATTTTGTCTAATATTAATAATATAAGGTTGCTGACTTCACACTCCCGGCACAATATGAAATGTCGTGCAGACGTTAAATTGCCAACTTTTCGATATGAGCAACTAACAGCCTTGCAAAATCGATATGAATTCGGCGCAGTTAGTATTTTTTTTAAAAGCGTTAAAAAATACATTGTACAAATTGAATTATGCTCAACAATGTAAAGGCGTTCGCTTGCAAAATACTAAATAATTTTTTTGGGCTATCATTCAAGATAGCGATAACAATATCGCGTTTCTTCGATTATTTGTGCAGCGCTCAGCCATTTAACTCGCATTTCAAATTCTTAAATCATCTCTCCAAAAAGAAGATCCATTTTATATTTATTTGTCTTTATTATACAGAGAAGGAAAAAAAGTATAGCATACGATTGCAGTAGAAAGCGAGACAAAAAAAAAAAGTTGTTGCGAGCTGCATTGCAGGGCTCAAATCTCAGGATAGGCGCTGCCAATGAGGCTCTTGCCTCTGTAGCGCCACGAATAGGTGACAATGCCGAACTTGCTGTTGCCCAGCGACACGGGACAGGTGCGATCCGGGCGCAACTGGAAGCAGACAGTGTACAGGGCCAGCTCTAGCTCCGGCGAGGTGCCAACGAACATGGTATCCACGGGTTTATTGAAACCCTGATGCGTGAATCGAACTTTCAGAATTTTGCCCTTCTGCAAAGGAAATAAAAGAAAATTGCAAAACAGCTGACGGTAGAATGGGAAACGTTAACACATACCGTGCCTATGTCCTGCTCCTTCATATAACCCTTGTAGTCGAAGCGACCGGCCTGCTCCTCCTCGTTAACATAGACCCAATTGTGAAAGCCGATGATGGTGCCGTTCTTCACCTCATGGACGAACACATGCTCAAAGCCGGAGCTACCAATCTTGCCCTGACCGCGTGAATACTGTGTGAACCACAGCTCCTTGACGAGATCCCGATGCGTTTTCGGATCGGGCGTCACCAGACCCTTCTGCTGCAAAAACAACATGGCCTGGCGCATCACACTGGTGGCCATAACCGCATCGAGGAACTCATTCTCCTCCTTGCGCTCGTTGGCCGTCACATGCTCGTTGACCAGCGTATCCTGCTCATAGTTGTTGAACAGCAAACGCATCTTGGCTATGGTCGAAGGCTCCAAGGCTTTGGCATTTACGCTCAACAGACTGTCAAGGGACAAGGAAATTCAAAAATGAGCTAAGCTGAGCTGACTTTCAACTTACGGCTGTGGCGCCTCGTCGCCGCTATCAATGGAACGTGTGCGTCCTTGTATGTTAACCGTAATCTCACTCAGCTGACTGTTCGACTCCTTGGCATAGAGCTGTTCGGTTAGCTGACGTATCTCATCGTCGGTGGCCAACGAATTGCCGGCGGATTGGAAGCCCGGACGCACGGTTGTCGTCGAGCCAGGCGTGTGTGGCACAAAGGAGACACCAGAGGAGCCATGAGTCGAGCTGCCACCAGCTGTGGTGCTGCTGCCACTGCCAGCTGGTGTCGTAGGCGTAACGCCAGCACCTGGCTTGACAGCTGGCACAGCTGGATGCACGGGCGTCGGCAACGGCACCTGCCAGGCTGAGGGAGAGGTTGGTGTACCTGGAGTCGGTGAGCCTGGCGCACGTGGCGTGGGCAATGCTGGAAAATCTTCCTTAATCGAGGGACGTCGTGGCCCAGGCAAACTGGGATACTCATCCTTATGCTGGCCAGGCCTCACGGTGGTTGTCGTTGAGCTGCCAAAGCGCAAATCGATGCCACCTGGCTGCCCATTGGTGCGTGGTCGCGCCGTGGTGGTTGTTGTGGTTGTCGTTGTTGTTGTAGTGGTGCTGCTGGTTAATGGCGCCAAGCCAAAGCCGGGATGTGGCGCAGGACCGCCACCGGCAGCGGCACCACCCGCACCACCGCCCGAGTAGCTCAAATCGAAGCCGCTGGGCTGCGGCTTCTGTGGGCGATACGGCGCAAAGCCGGGCGGCAAATTGGCAGCTGTTGAGGCGCCTCCACCACCCAAACGGCCGGCTGGTACGCCTGCCGGCGTCGTGCCACCCACATTATGCTGCTGCTGCTGCGGCTGCTGCCCGCCATTGGCCGCTGGCCACTGTGGCCCATGAGCTGATGAAGCACCAAATGGCGATGAGCTGGGCGTATCGGGACGTGGCCCCAGCGGCATTAGCGGTGCATGCGAGATGACCAATGGCGGCGGCTTCTGCGCTGGCGTCACCGCAACAGCTGCTCTGGTGGTGCTCGTTGTGGGTCGCACTGTGGTCGTTGTCGTCGTTGTTTCACTGTTGCTGCCGCTGCCAAAGAACTTTTTGAAGCCGCCGAACCAGCCAGACTTCTTGGTAGTCACCTCCACATCGGGCTCCGGAGTTATCTCGATCTCGCTCTTATAGCCAGCTGCTCGATGGACAAAGGACGGTAAATTGGGAAATTCGTCAGCCACATATGGCCTACATCTTGACTCTTGGCGATTTACTTACCTGCAATTTGGCTTTGGCTGGCGATCACAGCGCAAACAAACAGCGCGCTCAATGCCAGGTAACGCATTTTGTTGCTGCTTCTTGTTTTTATTGTTTTCTTTTGCTTGTTACTCGATTTTTATCACCTTGCTTTGCGAACACAACCAACTGGTCAGAGATTCAGCGCACGACTGAGACCTAACACCAGAGACACGACTTCCAGCGGCTCAGCGTTGCGGAACACACACACACACACACACACACACACACACACGGACATCCGCCTCATCTCGGTTGTGTTGTTGTTGCTTTTATTTTTACTTTGACTTTCTGAATACCCTGTAATTATGGCGCTGTCTGGCTTATAGGCTTTGTGGCTTCGCTTGCAACAGTCGATCCATCGATATATTTTCTATATGCTCAATCTGCGTAAAAACAACTTCTTTGTCTCTATCTATATGTGTGCATTTATCTGTTATGTCTAGTATTTTGTCTGGTTTTTACTCTCTCAGTTTGCCTTTTTGTCTCTTTCCCTTTCTGCATCTCCCTTCATCAGTACATCTTTCAATTTGCCCATATGTATACCATCTATTTCTCTCTCTCTTTCTTTCTACCTCTCTAAATTTCTCGCTCGCTCTTTCAGCTTCTCTCTTTCTTCCGTTACATTTCTCCCTCCCTTTTTCACCATCCTGCATTATTTGCTCTCTCTTTCTATCAGTTTCATCCGTGTGTCTGGCTCTATCCGTTTCTCCGTCATTCTCTGTCTGTCTATTTGCCTTTTTCCGTTTTGTTTTTCTGTTTATCCTTCACCAATGCTTTGCATCCATTAAGCTTGACGCCTGCTCGCCTCTCGGTTTGTCATACTCTACCAAGCCATCCGTCTGATCGTTGAGCTATCGCCTCGGCTGTCTAGTTCTAGGGCATCTTCTAGTCAGGCACACTTAACTGGTGCACTCTTACTTATATTAATGAGCTGATGTAGCTGCTGTCGCACAACATTTAGCGTGGGTTTAAGCCACTGCGCTACCTCGATTCGCTTAAGGTATTTTAGTTAAAGTGCTTCGGCTGCACATTATGCATAGCAAACAGCTTTTGTCTGGCGTTTGCAAATTTTGCGTTTGCTTTCTAAAGCTAAAGGCTTTACCACTCACACGCAACTAGAGCCCAAAGCCCTTTAATTCTCGGCAGAGAAGCTAAAGGGCTTTGGCCTGGGCAGAGTCTGTGCCTCCAGAGAACAAAGACAACATATATGTATTTGTATATACACATATATATGTGTACATATTTGCATTTATATATAATAGCTATAAAGCTGATTAGCGCTCTGCTCTATTTGCAGATCCAAACAGGTTTCTTGACCACATTGAAACCTGTAACTCAAAGCAAGCTCCGAACGCGATTTAAGCACTGCAATTTTGTATAATTTTGTAGAAAATAGAATATTTATTAATGATACAAATAAGTTATGTTATGCCAAGTCTAAAACGCGCCCGTTTCAATAATTTCAAACCGATTTCAACTGTTTCTTTATATTTTATATAATTACAAATGATCACAAAATAACCGATTCAATTTTCAAAAATTACCGTTTCCTTTTCCAGTTCGACTTTTCAAAATAACCGATTCACAGCGTTTCTCTAAGTATACACGTGTATACTAAAGTGCGATGCGCCTGTCAAAAATAACCGATTCGACCAATGTCTACTTTTCTAGCTCATTTTCAATTGATTTGAAAATAACCGTTTCGAATGTGACGTAGATGTCCGTTCCGATTTTCATAAATAACCGACGAATAGGCATGTTTAGGGTTCACTTCTGATTCAGCTGCAGCGCATTGTCAAGTCGTTGCAGCTGAGGATTTGCCGATGCCTAAATTCATTTGAACTTGTGAGAGTTGTGGACCGCCAGTCAAGGGGGTTGAGGACTGTGGATTCATTTAGCTTTTTTTTATTTTGAGAATGTGCCGCAATTATGCTATATGCAGAGCTTAATAATGCGCTTTAATTGTAACCGGGGAAAAAATGTTGAAAAACGAAAAAGGAATTTGTAGATTTGATTTGATTTGATTGCATTTGATTTGATTTGATTGCTTACATAAAACGCTAATAAACAAAATGCTGTCTCTTAGAGCTTAGCTAACACTTTGGCTCTCTCCCTCCCTCTCTCTCTCGCTCTCTCCTTCGCACAATCCAGCCAGACTCTTGGGGAATCGGGGCAACTCGCAGGGGCAGGCGGACGACCCCAATTCCGTTTCGAGTCGTCACAATTATAAATTGCACTCTCGATGTTTGTTGTCGAATCTGAAAGCGAGGTATATCGATTATTCATAGCATCTTCGATATCATCGAACATATATTGATATATATAAATATGTTCAGCATGAAGAGCTGAGTCGACTTATGTAGGTCGGCTACTGCAGCAGCTATAAACTTGATACTGCAAACATCAGAGGGAGTTAATCATATCAAATCATATCATATCCTTTCGATAAATATCGATTTCGAATCTTGATTCTCTTGAGATTGCGAAAGCTTTGACTTCATGCACCTAGGTCTTCATACTGCTTCTGTCAAGGGTATCGCCTCGTCGTGCTCCTTCCATTAGATCGCTTTTACTTCAAGCGTTTCAGATGTTGTTTGCTTTGAGCTCATTTCTAACAAATAACAAAAACTGAAAACTTGAAACTGTGGAACGCTTATCAATTTTAAATAGAAAAAAGGCCATTGGGAAAGGTTAAGCATACATTATATATGTATTCTATATACATATATATTTGTGAACGTATCTATATAGGCACTCTCATTACGTACACATCCGTTGGGTAAGGTAATTGGATAGATAATGCCTGTATGTGTTTGAAGTTTGGTATTTATGGCTTTATCAAGTTTTCATTTGCTTTCCAGAATTATTAATTCTTATATTTCTTTCTCTTCTCTTTACGTTTCTTCTCTTCGCTTTCTCGTTTCCTCTTTTCTGTTTTTTTCATTTCTTATCTTTTCATTTACTTTTTTTCTCTTTCTTTTTTTCTTTCTTCTTTTTCTTCTTCTCTTTTTCCTTCTCCTTCTCCTTCTCCTTCTCCTTCTCCTTCTCCTTCTCCTTCTCCTTCTCCTTCTCTTCTCCTTGAGCTTGGCTAATAATTCTCAGAGGCTCATGCGATGGACAAGTCGCCGATCTAGGATTATGGTATACTGCGAGGCGCAGTGCATAGAGAGAGGGAAGGAGAAGGAGAAGGAGAAGGAGAAGGAGAAGGAGAAGAGAAGGAGAAGGAGAAGAGAAGGAGAAGGAAGGAGAAGGAGAAGGAGAAGGAGCAAGGAGAAGGAGAAGGAGAAGGGAAGGAGAAGGAGAAGGAGAAGGAGAAGGAGAAGTAGAAGGAGAGGAGAAGGATTCCTTCTCCTTCTCCTTCTCCTTCTCCTTCTCCTCCTTCCCTCTCCTTCTCCTTCTCCTTCTCCTTCTCCTTCTCTTCTCCTTCTCCTTCTCCTTCTCCTTCTCCTTCTCCTTCTCCCTCTCCTTCCTCCTCCTTTCTACTTCCTTCTTCTTCTTCTTCTTGCTTTTGCTTCTGCTCTTGATCTTTCTAGTACACTTCTCAACTCTTCTCTTGTCTTCTCTCTTCTCGCCTCTTCAAACTAGCTTCAAGAGTGTTGCATACATTTAGACTTGTATTTATAATCACATCTGATCTATATATATATATATATATATATATATATATATATATATATATATCTGAGTATAGCTAATTGTATAAATGTTTCGCACTCTAGAACTTTATGTCAATTTTTCCTTCCTCCCTGAAGATATGTCGGATGCCCAAAAATAGATAAAAGAAAATATCACAAAATATTTGAATTTATTCTAATTTTTTATTATTGTTAGAGTGATCATGCACATAACTCAGGTAAGAAAAAAATAGAAGCAAGGCTCTTCAGACACTTTTGTGGATGAGCTTTTTGCGTATTGTTTCGTCCAGAGGGGGAATGGCCTCGCGTGGTATTAGGAACGTAGACAAGTTGAACAGGTCCAGGAATACTTTGTACCGATCGCTGAAAGTAAAACGAGCAGACGATCAATGATCGTGGATCAGGTGACAGCTACCTGGGAATACGCACCTGAGTGTGGAGCGTAGATATTGATAGCCGGATGAGCCGCCAGTGCCCAGCTGCTGGGATCCGATCATGCGTTGCACCATGATAACATGATTATCTAAGTGACGAAAGTAAAAGTGAAATGCGATCAATCCAGAGCGAAAGAGACGGGGAATGACAGTGAGAGTGAGAGGCAGCTAGCATTCACTTACAGCGCCATTTCGTGATCAGCGAGTCAATGTCCATGAGCAGAGTCAACAGCTGATGGGGCTGACTGAAGCGTGGCTCGTCCCTGTAGAATGTGATCATGATGGCGCCCTGAAGCGCACGATGGCTGAAGCGACGATCGCCGCGCTTCACCAGCGCCTCGTGCACCGCCGGATCGAAAATGGAGCGATACACTTCACGTCTCTTCTCAATATCCATGAGGCGATAGTTTTTCGCCCGCTCCACCGGCTCCTGCATAGCGCTGTGCACCTGGGCGGCCAGAAACTGATCGACACTTTGCTGGAACTTGGCCCAAAAGTTAAAGCCATCCTCCTCCAGGCCCGGCGTCCGCTCCAGCCAACGCTGCACCAGCGTCAACAGCGATGGTGCATCCTCTGACTGGCGTATGGCATGCAACGCCTGCTTATCATTCCCAAACACATCCGTGTACTTCTGATTATATTTCACACGCTGATCGGTCAGCACGCCCAACTTGTTCTCGATCAGTCGAAATTGCAGCGATTGAAAGCCAGAGGCGGGCGCCAGATACTTGCGAAAGTCCATGAAATCCAAAGGCGTCATTGTCTCCAATATGGGCACCTGGTCGACCAGCAGCTGCCAGGGTATGAAACGAATATCAAGAAAATATTATAAAATCTGTACGAAGCCAAAAGCGCGATTGGAATTTAAGGGAAACATCTTAGGAACTACAGCAATTGTAGTAGGACAATAAGGTCTTTGAGATGGCTCATTGATCTATGCGAACACTGAAGAGCGTTAAGGAATACTACAGAGAACTGTGATACGACAGTTGTGAAGTCGCTTGTAAAGATCGCCACGAAACTAACAGCAAAGGAAGATCATAATGAATAATGAATAATGAATAATGAATAATGAATAATGAATAATGAATAA